TTGAAAGCCCAGGGGCCGGACTGACGCCATTCACATTTCCATCAGAACGGAATCCCTCGATTTGAGATGGTGCCTGATTGCTGATGGGTGGCGAATGAGCCTGTGATGTAGCGACGTGGTCATGGGCGATGTGATCTTCTACACGGCGGCCAAGAGCCTGCAAGAGGGCATCGAGCCTGTTGACCTTTGCTTCAAGTTCAAGACTGAAGCCGATACGGCTACCCGGCTTCTGCCTTTCGAGATAGACGCAGGTTCGGTTGTGACGGGCACACCAAGAACAAGCGGGCTCTGCACGATCGCACTTGACCTTCCTCGCCTTGCACAGTTCGCAACTGGATTCGCGTCAGTCGATGGCCGTGCATCTCATTTGGGGGGTCACACAATCAGAAGCGCACAACATACGATGTCTTTTGGTGCTTCTCCCTCTTACGCTTCCTCGGGGCGCCGGCCGAGCCATTGTTTGCCGTATCTTCACCACTTGAGCCCTCTTCGTGGCTGAACACCGAGTTCGCTTCCTCCTCGGCCATTTGTTGCGGACGTGCATTCGTGTCTAGCATATCTGTCCCATGGTCGTGGGAACTCCACATTTCCCGTTTTTACTTGATGGACTGCGAAGGTGTTGCTCTTATCAGGGCCCTTTTTGGATGGAGCCGTGAGGAGCCTGGCCGAATTTGATGTCAGGAAGTGGTCATTTCACTCACGAACGGGCGTGCAGCAAGCAGTAAAAAGCAAGCTAGCGAATTGCCTCAGCCGGCCGGGATGCTGGAGAGCGTGAAGGATTGCGCCGCAGCACCTTGGGGCGCATGGGGCATATCCGGCCTTGTCCGCGTTGGTTGACCGGATCGATGGGCGAAACGTGGGCAGCCGAATCCAGGAGAGAGAGAGACTTCTGTGCAGTGCTACTGTCAGCGCTGCAATGTCAGTCCAGTCAGTCAGTCTGTGTGCGCGAACCTGCAGAGTGCAGTCTGCAAGTCGAAGCAACAAGTGGAGAGAGATGGAAGACAAGCACCGAGTCTTCAGCGAGAGGCAAAAAAGGCTAGTCGACTAGGTGGAAAAGATTCGGGAAGCCAAGGCCGCGATGAGGGACTTTGTCAGCAAGCACTCGAGTGTCTGAGTCTGACCAAGTGTGAGAGGGGGACGGGGCCCTTCGGTGTTCTCTCCCGACACGTCATGAGAAGAGATGGCTGCCACGGAGGGCAGAAAAAACGAGATCCAGTTGTCGGCCCACTCTCGTCCACAATAAGAGTTGGATCTCTTGCGCAACTCTGTCACCGTCCCTTATTTTACGCGGTCTGACCGTCCTGTCTTGTCTGCCAACTAGTGATGGTACAGAGTATACACATTACAAGCATACACGACGGAAGACGACGGAACTGTGTACAGTACCAGAAATAAAGACTCCGCCGTGCCGCCAATGCGCACCAACCAGTTGCGCCCAGAATCCTCATTTTCCCGGAAACCCGTAACACACAACATCCGCCCGCGGCATGGGATGGACGCAACGGATGAGGGGAGATCGTTGCGCCCAATGATGAGCCCTTGGGGGCGATTACGATAACCAGAGCCATCTCCGAAGCCATCAGCTATGACACTGGTCACTACGACGGGACAACGGTGCTAATACAGACTACCGCAAGACATGCAGGAACCGCGCCGGCCGCCTCTGTTAGAACAGTTCCCCTCAATTTTCTTCTCCAAGTTTGCTACCGAAAACCCCCCTCCATACGGCAAACAGCGCCGCACCCCGGCCACTCCGAACTCTCCCCCGCTCCTTGCTGTTCCCCTGTCAGGCCTGCTACCGCGAGGATCATCCATGGGGCGATGCAACCGTCCAAGGTGGGGGTAAACGGCAGTGGCTTCGACGATGTCTTCTTCCGCAGGCCCAAGATTCAGTAGTCAGCGGGTGACTGGCAAGGCAGGCTACAACTAACAACATCCACAGCGAGAGGAGGGTCCTTGTTTCTCACATCCTCGGAACAAGGCCGCGCAGCAGGTCGGGGAATGGCGATGAAGTCACCGCATTCCGCTTCTGCCTGGTTCACGACTCAGTTCGAACGGGGTTATGGACGACGATTTACGCTCCGATCATCCGGATTTCACAAGGAACACGCGCACGTGGAGACGGGTCGAGACCGCGATGCAACTGCGGCTTTCCCTGAAGCCGTCCGCTTGGCGCTCTTACAAAGACTTGCATCAGTGAACAGGGCAAAGGAACCAGCTTCTGGCGCACAAAATCGAGTTTCCGACAGAGGCAAAATGCGTCGTCATACTGCCGTGCTACCTATGATACAGATTGGATTTTTCTCTCCAAGCGGCGCCGGGTCGCATGTGCGTGCGCCATCGTGATTGGACCTCCCAAACAACAGACTGTGGTATATCGAAACGAAGAAAAAGAAGACATTATCACGTGAAGAACTCCCAAGCAAAACCCCTCTAGCTCGACCAGCCCTTGCTCATCTGGACGGCCTTCTCCCAGCGGCCGAAGCGCTCAGAGGCATCCTCGTTGGAGATCTGGGGCTTGAAGATGGTGCGACCCTCGAGGTTGACGTCCTTCAATTCGTCGAAGCTCTTCCAGACGCCGACAGCGAAGCCTGCCGCGATGGCCGCGCCGAGGGCAGTGGTCTCGCGCATGCCTGGGCGGTTGACAGGGATGCCAATGATGTCGGACTGGGTCTGTTACGGAGTACATGGGTCAGCTTGATTTCTCCGCCCGAGGTTCGGAAAAGGTCCGGGGGTTCTATTCTTACCTGCATGACGAGATCGGAGTTGCACATGCCACCGTCAACGGCAAGCTCAGTCAGGGCTGCACCGCTGTCCTTTTCCATGGAATCCAAGATGGCCTTGGTCTGGAAGCAGGTGGCCTCAAGGGTAGCGCGGGCGATGTGGCCACGCTGGGTGTAGGCGGTAATACCGAAGATGGTTCCACGAGCATCGTCGATCCAGTAAGGCGCGAAGAGTCCACTGAAGGCAGTGACGAATGTGCAACCACCGTTATCCTCGACCGTCTCGGCGAGTGCACTGAGCTTGGAAGAAGACTCCATGAAGCCAAAGTTGTCGACCAGGAACTTAACACTGGATCCAGCAACAGCAATGCTACCCTCGAGAGCGTACATGGTCTTGCCAGGGCCGAAGTCGAAAGCGACAGTGGTCAAGAGGCCGTGGGATGAAATGACGGGCTTAGGTCCGATGTTGTAGAGCAAGAAGCAACCCGTGCCATAGGTGTTCTTTGCGAGACCGGCCGTGAAGCCCTTCTGACCGACCAGAGCAGCGGACTGGTCACCCAAGCAACCAGTGATCTTGGTACCGCTGAGAACAGTGTTGTGGAGCGTACCATACGCCTCGGGATCAGAAGATCGAACAATCTTGGCGAGCTTGACCTTCTTGGGGTCGATTCTGAACCAATCAATGAGGTCCTCATCGTACTTGAGAGTGTGAATGTTCATGAACATGGTACGAGCGGCGTTGGAGGGATCCGACACGTAGACATCGCGCGCAGTACCGCCGTTAAGCTTGTAGACCAACCAGGTGTCAATGGTACCGAAGGCCAGAACACCACGCTCGTAGGCATCCTTAACCTCAGGGCTGTTCTCCAGGAGCCAGAGAAGCTTGCCGACGGAGGGGTATGTGGAGAGGGGAAGACCGCATCGCTGGGTAAGCTCGCTCGCGCCGAGACGCTGCTTCAGACGGCGAACGAGGTCCTTGGTACGGGTGTCGGTCCAGACGATGGCATTGTACAGAGCCTTGCCGGTGGTGGTATCCCAAAGGACGGTGGTTTCTCTCTGGTTGGTGATGCCGACGGCCTTGATCTGGTCGCGGGAGTGGCCCTGAGTCTCGAAAGCCTGGACGGCGCCGTCAATGCACGTCTCGACGGAGGCAACGAGTTCCTCGGGGTCATGCTCGTGCCAGCTGTCGCAATGGAGTTAATTTCTCACTCGGCGCAATAACTTCAATGCGCCAATGGTGGTCGCATGGGGATTGACTTACCCTGGGTTGGGGTAGATCTGCTTGAACTCGAGCTGGTGAGTCGCAACGACCTCACCGTGGGGGTTGAAGATGAGGAAGCGGGTGCTCGTGGTGCCCTGGTCAATGGCACCAACAAAGGAGATGTTGGAGCCAGCACCACCGTTTACAGAAGTAGGAGACATGTTGTCTGAAGTTTGTTTGAATCGGCCGGGGAGAAGAGACGAGAGCATTCAAAGACGGCAACGGCGTGGCGTGGCAGCGGCAGAGAAGAGAAAGGGACGGACAATTTTGGGTATCTTGATGGACGGGATGAGGAGAAGGGAGTGAGAGAGACACACGACGAAAGACCAAAGTTTCAAGGGCTGACCAAAAATATTTGTAGGTGCCGCACATGTGGGAAACTCTCAGCTCTTCAGCAGTCAGCAGCAAGCAGCAAGCTCCAGTTCTCGGAAGCGCAACGCAAAAGGGCACGCGGCGTGTCGGGTTAGCTCCCTCCATGGGGAACAAACAGCTTTCTTCGAGAGCTACCCCTCATTTCCATGCATCTCTCTTACCCCATCCCCAGATCGTGTGGAGATGTCACGAAATGAGGACCAAGGAGCTGGGCTTGGGTCAAGAGGAAAAAACCGCTGGTGTGTCAAAGGGGGGGTCCCCGGATGCAAGACCAATCCCCACTGGGGAAATGCGAACGGATCGAACGGGGTTGCGTTGGAAGCGTTCTAAAGAATCTGACAGGCCGTCGAATCCTTCCACGCGAGAAGCCGGAACGAGAGATGCAAGCAACCGGTCTGTCTGTCTGCGTACCACTGCTCCGGAGTCTCACGAGTCTATCTGTACAGATACCAAGGGTGTGTAGGTACTTGTTGGTCTATACGGGTATGGTATCCATAGATTGACTACCTTGACGGCTGACTGGCACACTGACCAGTTGTTGGTAACTTGTGCTTAGTACAGATTCGGGAGCAGGCATACGAGAAAGTTGGGGAACCAAAAGTTCGGGGTGGACGCCCCGAGTTACTTCGGTCATTGTTCGACATTGACAAGCAACGTCGGCCGTGAGCAGCGAGCAAAAGTGGAGGAAGACGGGGGCCGGATCACCTCGTGATGGGGCTGATGTCATTCCAGGTCGCACTGCAACAGCAGCAGTTTCGGTCTGCGTCGGCGAGCTCTCACGGAGGCATCGGTGGGTCCGGCCGTATGCCGGCCTTTATCTCTTTATGAAGCACCGGTGGCCCGAGGCTCGCCCCAGAAAGCGGGGTCGACTACGAGCAAAGACGGCATGCTACCTCGAGTGCTCGACTCTTCTGCGAACTAAAGCAAGCACCTTGGCAAACACGCAGGTCACTGGTCGAGCAGAAAAGAAGATGGGCTGGTGGCCTTGCCTACATGGGCTAGAGCTGGACGGGAGGAGGATGCAGCGGCCACCTCCGCGCCCGCGTGCGGTGCCTGCGCCTCTGGTTTGCTGGCTGGGTCTTTTTTCTGTGCCTTTGGCGTTTGCTACTGGTTCTGCTACTAGTTGCTTGCTGATGCTATTTTGCGCACACGAACAGGTGACACATTTCCAGCATGGAAAAGGCAAAGACGCCGGGCCGAAGATGTTTACGACCCCGTTCCAACGAGGGCATATCCATGTTCGTTGTCTTAAAAGCCATATTCAGCGGCAAATGGGATTCGGCGCCGCGGACGACCGACCAACCAGAGGCAACAATTGCAACGAGTTTCCAACGCCAACGCTAGAAGCAGTGGCCGAACGAACCGACAGACTAATCTGCCAGTCATTCCGATCAAGAGTCTCGACTCTTGCGGATACTGATTCAGAGAGTCTTCTCTTTCTGGGCCATCCCGAAGACCTACGAACGTGTCTAGGTATCTATGCAGCCATGGCAGATACTACCCCATGGGCCATGAACCCATAGGCAATTGCTCCAAACCATTTGCCGACCTGCATGCGTTTCGAGAAGAACACCATTGCACCCCCTGCCGCCCATCGTGCCCATCGTCTTGTCAAAAACGGGACAAGACCGACAAACCATTTCTCACATCGCTGACCTGGTTCCCCTCCACTACGTTGCACCCGCCCTCCCACCTTGCATCTCATTTGTCCAATTTCGAGTAACCAACTGCGGGGAAAGAGGCGAAAGTCCCGTTACGAAGCAGACCAAGGACGACGCCGGACCCGGCTTGCTTGGGGCCAGCTGGAGCTTTGGGCAGAATGGGTTTGCCTGGAGGATGGCATGGATGGAACCAACAAGAAGACTCTTCTGTCGCCTGCCAGTGCTGCCCGCCGAGGAGAGTAGAGGGCTCACGGTGGCCTCGGCTCGCCGTGTAGACTTTTTTTCTGGCTTCTCGTCTTTTCCCCATCTGGATGTGGACGACTATCGTCATTGGAAGAAACGCTTGAACCTTGACTGGCGGAAACGAGAGACACAAGAGCAAAAAAAAAAAATGAGCCGCAAATGGGTTTCAACGGGAAGTAGTCCGTCTCTTCTTCTCCTTCGGTCGACACCATGGAACGCCGCGCACCACCACACGCCAATGATGATAGGCGTACCCTTCGTGTATGACGTTTTGCCGCGGCTGGTTACATAGTTTTGGTGTGGTGTGGCTCGCCCGCGCTCGTCACTGTCAGATTTGGTCCATGGATGATGGAGCGGCTCCACCTCTCTCTATGGACCCTTGGCGGCCATCGCCCGGGCCCCAGATGGGTTCAGGGATGCATCATGGAAGAGGCAATCTTCCGATCTGATCAGTCAAAGTTCAAACTCGGCTTTAATCAATCGGCAAACCAAGGAGCAAGGACGACAAGCTCTGGCAGGTCATGAGACTTTCAGTACTTCTCCCCCAGATTTCTGTCTTGTAACTGGACAAAGCTCGGGGAAAGCTGACTGACTGGAAACAAGCAAGGAGAATTGAGTTGCTGCATGCGACGACTTGGCCCCGCGTAATCAACTTTTTCTATTCGCTTTCCCCGTCACACACGTCTCTATACTTTTGAACGACGATTAGGAAGGATTCATTCAAACTGGGTCCTTGGCTCGGAAGACGCACCGAAAACTCACCTCAAGCCCACCCGTTTAATCCACCACGCGATCACTCCAGCCTCCTTGCAAGCAGTGGCAGGCCAAAGAAAGAAGTCCCCTCTTCTTTTCGTCCCTCTTACTCAATCCCACATCCTTCAACCTCACGCGCCCGCTCCCCTTGTACTACAACTCCGTTCTCTCACAGACTATAGTCACCACTGGCATCACTCGCCCCCCTCCACACGTGGGAACTTGCCCCAGAAGCTTACCTCTGAGGAACCACATATTTCATCCCATGGGAGGTTGCAAAGGGCATTAGTCCTTCCCCTGGGCTCCGGCGCGCATTTCTCACACACATTCTTCTTGCTGGGAAGTGAAGCCTATTAGTGGCGCGAGTGGAGAAGCTTCGTCGTTTCCGTACCTCTACATTGTGCAACCTTGTGCGTCCTGTCTCCTTACTCACGAAGACGCAGAGGGTATCCGTACATCCTCTTCCTGATCCGTTCGGCACGCACACCACATCTGCCTTGGCGCAAACCCGGAGAAGGGGGTCCCTTCCTTTAATGAGCGGGGTGGACAAGGCCAAGAAGAGACGAGGGAGAGAGAAGCACCACCCAAAGTACACCAAAGCCAGCAGAGGTCCAGAATTCCTCTTCATCAAAGCCTCGGCCGCCGTCCGGCGACAACGTCTCGTCCATCTCGGCCGTCAAACCGCTTCAACTTCGGTGTGAGCCACCGAACTGCATCATATCCCCTTGTCCCACCTTCGTGCCATCTTCTTTCTCTCTTTTTTTTTCTTCCCTCTCACATACACACACACACCTGACCGAGCCGGACACACGCACAAACTGAGCGACTTTCATCTCACCCGCCCACATCGTTCGATTTTTTTGCACTCCTCCGCTCAACCAACCCATCCCATACCGTCCATCGTCAAGTATCTTTCTCCTCGGTCTCCTCATCCCGCGTGCCAATCTCCATCTCTCCGCGAGACCCGTAACGCACGAATCCCGTTTAGGAACAATAGTCGAGTTTTTCTCTCTTCGTTCCTTTTCGTATCACCGAGGTTGTTCGTCCCAAACGACGAACTGTCGGTGATCCCAGATATCCGGAATTGTGGAAGCCATTCCAAGGATTCGAGCCAATCTCCTATCAGTCGCCGCCGCGCGCAGGTCGTTGTAATCCCAAGCCTCGTGGGATCCCGGAAGAAAATCTGTCTTTTGATCAGTGATCTCGGTCTAAGAGATCCACAATAACGCAACACCCCTAACCCTCTGGAGGGAAAACGAAGAAGAAAAGAATCAAGTCAAGCATACAACTTGTCTGCAAAGTGACCAAAGATGGGTAAGCGTCCATGATTTCCGTTTGGCGATACCGTATACGCCCCCCTTGACCCCCTCCCACTTCCACTGCCACTCCTCACTCCCCCAGTATCAACACCCCGCCCCATCTCAATGTGTCCATCCATCCCTATGGCGGTCCCCTCTCTCCTCTTTTCCCCAAAGAATGATTGCCAAACCCGGTGGATTGGTTGCAACGGTGTCCAGCCCCGTGGGAACACCACGAGCCCGTGGGGACCATAAGAAGATGCTGCTTCCCCATGGGAAGGACGTGGGATGATACTTTGGCCAGACCTTTGTCCGTCTCTTCATCTCATCTTCATCTCACCGTCCCCGCGTTTCTTGCCTTCTCTCCTTCTCCATCTCTCTTCCTTCTCAAAGTCCCTTCTCACTCTCACCCTCCATCCATCTCCATCTCCATCTCCCTCGAATCCCTTCGTCCTTGGAGAAAATCGTAATCGTTATCGTATCGGGTTTCTAATGGTCATCACTGTCCATACAGCGGAATCGGTGTCAGAGTCGTCGTCCGTCGGCAAGCAGCATATTCCAACTTTCAAGCACGACATGGGAGGCGAAGAGACCCACGAGGAGCACGCCGTCGGCAGCATGCTCCCTCCTCATCACGAGGAGGAGCAACTGTGGTGGTCGCGTATCCGTGAGAACTGCCAGGATGGCTTCTCCGAGTTCTTTGGAACCATGATTATGATCCTCTTTGGCGACGGTGTCGTTGCCCAGGTCGTTCTTAGCAACAGCACCAAGGGTGACTACCAGAGTATCTCTTGGGGTTGGGGGTAAGTTTTGATTCTTCCCGTTATTGCGACTTCACTTCACGAGCGCGCGGCTTTTCATCTTGAAAATTCTCAGATGGAACGAGAGCCTCGTTGGAAGCGGAGTGGCAAAAAGAGAGAGAAGACAAAGAACGAGTCAACTAACTCATTATTTCATAGATTGGCAGTCATGCTCGGCGTCTACGTGGGCAAGAAATCCGGCGGTCACCTCAACCCGGCAGTGACACTCGCCAACTGCGTATACCGCGGCCACCCGTGGCGCAAATTCCCCATCTACTTCATCGGCCAGCTCCTGGGCGCCATGGCGGGCGCCTTCATCGTGTACGGAAACTACATCAGCGCCATTGACAACTTTGAGGGCGGCCCGGGCATCCGCACCGTCGGCGGCGTCAACTCGTCCGCCGGCATCTTTTGCACGTACCCGGCCGCCTTCATGACCCGGACGGGCATGTTCTTTTCGGAAATCGTGGCGTCCACCATTCTCATGTTCTCAATCTTTGCCCTCGCCGACCCCGCCAACGGAGCCGCCGGCCCCTTTATGCCCTTGGCCCTCTTCTTCCTGATTTTTGGCATCGGTGCCTGCTTCGGTTGGGAGACTGGCTACGCCATCAACCTGGCGCGTGACTTTGGCCCCCGCCTGGTTTCGTACATTGTCGGATACGGGTCTGATGTGTGGTCCGCTGGTGGATACTATTTCTGGGTAAGCAGCAAGAAATTCCTTTTCCTGCCTGCCTCGGCTTCCCCCTTTCTTCTAATGGGGCTCGGTCTTTTCGTCGTCGTATGCGCTGGTCATGTGGTCCTCCGCCGATGTCGTCTTTCCGAGTGGCGAATCCTTTTCACATCCTCGTCCCAAGATTCCGTGACTAACGTTCTCATCTCCATAGATCCCCATGGTCGCTCCTTTCTTCGGTACCCTCTTTGGCGGCTTCCTGTACGACGTCTTCATCTTCACCGGCGAGAGCCCCATCAACACGCCATACTTTGGCCTCACAAGACTCTTCCGCCCTCGCCGAGACGTCTGGTCCAACACCTACAAGAACCGCTTGGAGAAGGTGTAGAGTGCCTGGCTCTTCCATCGATGTGTGTGACCGATTTGTGCGTTTGATGATGAGAAAGTGAGAGAGATGTTATCATCATCTTGATGAGTGATGAGATTGACACCGGAATCCTATCGTGTGGGACTGTCCTTCATGATGAATGACAACCTCGACGATGATCTCTTATGAGTGTGCGAGAGTGAGAAAGGCAAAGAAACTGGCAGACAATGATACCACGGGTTTCGGATAACGAGAAAAGAGACGAGATGAGAGACAGAGAGAGACTTGGGACGGGCGACTGACTCGGAGTCTTTCCTCTGGTGAGATCAGAAGTTCCAAGAGACTTGAGCATCTCTCGCAATCCCAAGCGAAACAAAATGGAAGAAACAAAAAGGAAACACCAAAAAAGATGGTCTGTCTTACGGTCCAAAACCAAAAAAGCGAACACGGGCGAAAGAAATCGATATCAGAAGCTTTGCTTGCTTGCTTTTTTTCCGTCGTTCCTATTTCTTGTTTTTTTTTTTTTTTTTTTGCTTGCTGTCTGTTGGGGTGCTGAGGTGCTGCTGCTGGGTTCATCGGCGTGGGCGGTATTAGCGGTGTCATATTTTCAATCACAACGTTTTCAAAGTTCAAGAATGTTTCCCAGTGACTACGCAAAGAACGAAGAAGAGTGCCCAGCAAGAACACAAGGCTCCAGACTACGATGAAGAGACATGTGCGCCCATGGCAGCAATTAGTATGTTCGTGAAGACCCTTGAGCACAGAAAAGAAAAAGCCACCTTCGCTGGAAGATTGGCACGATGCCCCGAGGGCGGGCCATGTGAACAATTCTTCCGTCAAGTCGGGGGTTTTTGCTCAGAGACATGGTCCCAAATTACGGGGGCCGCCCTGCCCAGTGCCCGCCAACTTGGCTAGCGGGAGGAACCTGCCCACGCTGCTGGAATCTCGCTTCCAGTGCAGCAAGCAAGCTGGACCACCACCACCAGACCCTGAGAATCCAGACCAACAAAATTGCTCGCACTCTGCATGCAATCAATGATAGCGTGGGCTTGCATCTTGTTGGGAGACTGGGGTTTTGGTGTGGTGAACCGCGAATAGGGTCCCGCCTCTGACCTCTCAGAGGCCAGAGATGCTCAAGTTTGGCCCTGACAGCTACCCCGACGGTCTGGGTTCGCGGTTGCACATTCTCTTTTGGTATGTCTGGAATCCAATAGTCTCGTCTCGTGGACTCGGTAGCCATCGCAGTATCAACACCGAATGGGGCCCCAGTCATGATCCAGTCAACCACAGCTTGGGGAAATGGGTGGGCATCTTGCAGCCGCCGTCTGTAGCCGACTCTTGCTTGACCTTTGGAAGAGACGGGCAGACAGCAGAAGACGAGTAGTTGGGAACCTACCGTGTAAGCTACGTAAGCTTAGGCATCACGACGCCCATGCTTCCTGTGTGCATCCAGCTCACCAACGCCTGGAAGTCCTCATTCATGCAACAAAAAAGGGTGCATTGCGAGGACTTCGGATGGGCCCTGATGAGTTGTTCAAGCTTTGGTGACAACTTGCCATTCGCAAGAACTGGGCGCTTAGCTTACGGTGAAGATGGGCAGAGTTGGGGAGAGTGGTCTGTTGTCGCCTGAACTACCGTCCACGTCAAGGCGGGAGTGGGCGCGGATTGGACGGAGTGGCGACGGGAGGTGATGTCAAGAGGTGGTCGCATGGCGATGAACTCGGATGACTGTCTTTCTGGATGGTCTGGATGCCCAATCACCACCTAGTACCTATGAATTTCCTGTATGTAGAGTTATAGCAAAGTTGTAATGCGAGGCGGAGCAGTGCCCAGCGGCCGTTGCTTGTGTCAGTGTCTGGTAGTGGCTTGTATTGTACCCAACTGTGTATTGAACCAGTTGGGTACAATGACTTCGAAATCGTGATTGTGTCGATGAGACCGATTTCTTCCAAACTCTGAGAGAAGCTGACTCGCGAGACAGCTGCCTTCGATCGATGGCCCTTATTCAGTGGTCGGCGAACGTTGCCCGTCACGAGATAAGGTTGAGTCTGGCTGGTGCTTCGTCTGGAAGCGCGGGGTAGAAACAGCCAAGAGCTAGTGGACATGCAGGAAACGTCGCTGTCAAGTTGCACCCTGGGACCTGGTCCATCTTACTCAGATTGGCTGGAAGGTTTGGTAGCGCGAGTCGACGAACTCTGGGTGTGATAATTGTCGCAGTGCTAAGATTGGCACTCTGGACTGCGAACGTGCCGTGGGGCGCAGCTGCAACCTGCGAGTTTCGAAACCTTGACGCAAATCAAGGCCATCAAACGAGGACAAGGTGATGGGTTGACCTGTGGTTGCGTGTAAGTCAACGGGGGTGAAGGACTATTTCGAGCTGCGTCGTGTGGCTGTCTTGGACAGGGACCTGGGACGCAATACTTGGACAGACTGGCAACCAAATCTGGCCCAGCGCCCCCTCCCAAGAAAACTGACGGTATCGTAACCGTGTTGGTGGGGGGGGCTGAGTGGTGAATTGTTTGTGGATTGGCAGCATTCCACACATGTGCCACCTCGGTTTGCTTCCTCCCACTTTCTGCACGCAAATTGCGAGGGGCGGCGCGGGATGTTCGGCGTGGCTCTGGGGCGTGGCCGTGGCGGCCGCGGGATGTGCAGCGAAGAACTTGGTAGCGGCGACGGAGGGTGGACGGCGGGTGTGTGCCTGCGGCGTGCGGGTGCGGTGCGGGTGCAACAACGGTGTCCCTACCGCGGTCGTATCCTAGGAGGGGTTCGTGTCCGGACACTCCCCAAGTACCCGTACAAGAGCAGGTCGAGGTACATGGCAGAGGTAGAGTGACTTGTAAGTCGAGCGACGTCGGCCGCTGCATTGCGAAGGGGCTTTGCGCGTGATCGATGATCGTGAAAAGTTGCGGAAATAGCTGGGTCAGGAGGGATGAGTCGGCAGGCTGAAGGCAGGTTTTGCTGACTCGGATTGATTGGCGAGCTGTGGTAGTGAATCGTATGTATGTGATGCCATGGTGGGTGGGCTAGTCGATGATTTGTAGCCGAAATAAAGGGAACGATCGCAGGCTGGAGTGGACGGCGTTTGTTGGCTGTGAATCCCGATACTTCGGTCACCACCAAAATGGCGCGGCGTATGTGTGATGCAGCCACCCGTCGCCGGGAACCAAAAACGGACGGCGGCGGACAGCAAGCGGATGGCATCTGGTTCTTAAGATGAACCAGATATCCGCCCTGAAAGAAAATGTTTGGCTATTGAGGCTGGTTGAGACCCCTTGGGCTTTGGGCAAGCCTCACAATCGGGCCTCAACTTGGGAAGTGAGGCGAGACCCAGAGTAATCAGGCCCCTGTATAAGGGCCGACATGTGAGGATGGCAGAGGATAAGGGTAGTTAGCGGCAGTATGGCGTGGCGCTGGGTGGGCAAACATCCCACGATGGACTCTGATGGAGACGTTTGGGAGGAGTCGACGAGGAGAAATCAGTCGCGGGCCATTCGCCGGGCCGATTGCTGGGTCGCCCGTGTGGTCGCCGTTTGGCAATGGTGATTGTTAATACTGGATCGAGGTACTCCGTGGCCGTACGGCGTCTGCAATGCGTGTCTCGAGATCCAGCAGGCGAGGTTACTGTGCATTCGCTGCTGATTCTGTAGTGAGCGTGATTGGATTGCTGGTGGTATGCGGTGGTGCTCTGCGGTGTGGATGTGGTGACGGGAATGCAACACCGAGGACGAGCGAGAGTCGAGCCCGCAGTATCGCCGTCCAATTACTCAAGTGGATACGTACCCCTCGGTGGTGGTGAGAAAAAGCAAAAAGAGGAGAAGGCACGTGTGGCACGGGAAAAGGGGGTCAGGGCTGGCAGCAGGGGCTAAAGTGGTAAGATACGTACTTTTTTCGGCCGGAGGATTCCGCCGATCATTGCGAAGTAAGTTGCGAATAACAAGGTGGAACCGTCCCTGCCGTCTCCAAATCTGTGACCCCACCTCCTTCCTCAGACCCTCACTCATCGTGCCTTCCAAGTCTTTTGCGGGACCTGGGCGGCGCCTTCTCCAATTCTTCTTCAGTGGTCGGCCATATCAACCGAGAGCACCGAGACAGGGGCACAAGTCTCACCAGCACCGAGAGAATACCGAAACCGTGTCACCATCTCGGATTGTAAACACCGAAGTGCAGATGGACCCCTGATGGCACATTTGAGGCTCTGACTGGAAACACCATACAATTTACGGATCCTCTACGCATACGGATGGCATGGCACCTACGTCCCTTTCCCACCGTGCCACCTCCAGATTTGCGTGCCTTTCCCCATTCATTTCTCCATACTGGATCCTGCGCCGTTACCGACATGACGAACAAGAAGCGGGCCCCCTCAGTCAGGCGCAGGCGTGCTGTTTTGCTTGCTAATTGCTAGCTCGGAGTGAGCTCGGTGCCATGATGTCAGACCCCGACTCGAGCACTTTGCTGTTTTCGGACGGGAGGCCGTTTGCCATTCACTACCGCCCCCATTCACCACCACAACGTGACGGATGAAGTGAGCAATGGAGTTACCAGCAAACCAAAGCAGTCCATAGATGATAGCACGTAGTGATGTGGCATAGTATAAGGAATGCAGGCAGGGTGGTCCCGCAGAACAGACAAGGTATCACTGGAAGTCTCAAGATGAGAGTCGGGCGTTCGGGGCCATGCCGCCATACCGCAGACGCGCCTGCGACCACGTGGGGGTAAGATCCAATTGGCAATGCGGGCAAGACCTCGAGCTGTCTGAGCTGGCGTTCACGGAGTGCCTAGTCCATCGATCGCTACCGGCCAAAGCTGCATGTCTCTCTGTCCCCCGATCTCCGTCATCACAGGTATCCCCGTACCCCCCTCCCCCGATCTACTTTTAGCCTCTTCTTGCTGGCTCAAGTTTCGTTATTTTTTTATTTATTTTTTCCTCACATTCGCCCTCACGCTCTCTTCCATCTCCGCTACCCACCTCCCCTGCTCCCGCCCTGCCCAGTCAGTCCAACGGAAGATTTTTGCTCGCGCCGAACGGGACCATTCCTTCTCGAGCTCGGGGTGTCATTCCACGAATAAAAGTCCAAAGTTGCGGCTGAGGCGGCCCAGCCCGGACCAGGACAGCTTCCTGCTTTTCTGTTCTGCCACCCGTGCCATCCTCGGAATCTACCCACTCTCTTGGGTCATCTACCGATCGACAATCCTCAACCCCTTCGGTCCCTCTTAAGCCCTCGAGCATTTCTCCTCCTTCCTACCTCTTACTACTTCTCCTCCCTCCCCTTCACCTTCCTGATTCCTCTCAGGATCATCAACTTGTGAATCCTTCCCTCATCACCATTAAGGGAAAGTAAATACAACAGGCATCCTACCCTACACGCCTGGACTGGTCACCTACCACCTTATACGCACCTCTAATCGTCATCGTCCCGTCCTCTTCGGACTCGGTCTGAACCTCACCGAGTAAAGAGAAACACAAGAAACACCCGCCAACATGGCGTCTCGTTTCTCGAGCCTGAGAAGGCCCGTCGCCATCGCCGCCGCAGCGGCAACTGGTGGTGTCGTCGCCTACTCAACCTTCCTCAGCGGCCGCGGCGCTCACAACTTCGATAAGGCCCTCGTCGACCTCAAGCGCGACGACCAAGGCAAGATCATCCCGCCCTCATTCCCCGCCACAAAGGACCGCGCCTCCCAGCTGGCCGACTTGCGCGCCCACAACTCCGATGCTCAAGAGTATGACCTCCTCGTCATCGGCGGCGGCGCTACGGGAACTGGCATCGCCCTCGACGCCGTCACCCGCGGCCTCAAGGTCGCCCTCGTCGAGCGCGACGACTTCTCCGCCGGAACCTCATCTAAGAGCACCAAGCTCGTCCACGGCGGCGTTCGTTACCTCGAAAAGGCCGTCTGGAACCTCGACTACTCCCAGCTCGAGCTCGTCATGGAGGCCCTCCACGAGCGCAAGACTTTCCTCAACGTCGCCCCGCACCTGTCCTCTTCTCTGCCCATTCTCCTGCCCATCCAAAAGTGGTGGCAAACCCCATACTTCTGGGCCGGCACAAAGGCCTACGATCTGCTCGCTGGCTCCCAAGGCCTCGAGAGCTCCTACTACGTCTCTACCAAGAAGGCCATGGAGGCTTTCCCCAAACTCAGAAAGGATAACATGGTTGGCGCCCTCGTCTACTACGACGGCCAGCACAACGACTCCCGCATGAACGTCTCCCTCGCCCTTACGGCTGCCTTTTACGGCGCCACCGTCCTCAACCACGTCGAAGTCACCTCTCTGGAAAAGAACTCCTCCACCGGCAAGATCACGGGCGCGCAAGTCCGCGACGTCAAGTCCCCCGGCAGCGCCCCCTTCGCCGTCCGCGCAAAGGGCGTCATCAACGCTACTGGCCCCTTTGCCGACGCAATCGAGTGCATGGACAACCCGGACCGCAAGCCCATCGTCGCCCCGGCCTCTGGTGCTCACATCATGTTGCCTGGTGACATCTGCCCCAACGGAATCGGTCTCTTGGATGCTGCTACCTCGGACGGTCGTGTCATTTTTGTCCTCCCCTGGCAAGGATACACTCTGGCTGGAACCACGGATAACGCTGCCCCCATCGAGCGCGAGCCCATTGCCCGCGAGGACGACATCAAGTTCATTCTCAAGGAGGTCAACAAGTTGATTACCCCCGAGTCCGCCCTGTCCCGTGCCGACGTTCTCTCCGCCTGGTCTGGTAAGTTTACTCATTCACTCTCCCTCCGATATCGCTTTCAAAACCAAGAAAACTAACATCCCACGCTAGGAATCCGCCCCCTGGTCAAGGACCCCAACGCAAAGAACACCGAATCCCTCGTCCGCTCCCACCTCGTCACCGTCTCCTCCTCCGGCCTCCTCACCTGCGCAGGCGGAAAGTGGACAACCTACCGTCAAATGGCCGAAGACGCCGTCGACGAAGCCATCAAGACTTTCAACCTCACTCCCAAGCCCGTCTCCCTCCCCGACATCTCCGGCGCAGGCCTCCCCACCTTCACCACAACCGGCGCCTGCATCACCACCAAGATCCCCCTCGTCGGCGCCCACGGCTTCTCAAAGCACCTCCCCGGCCACCTCATCACCCACTTCGGCCTCGACAGCGACGTCGCCCACCACCTAGCCCACAACTACGGCGACCGCGCCTGGTCCGTCGCCACTACCCCCGCCGACCGCGAGCGCATCATCCCCAACTTCCCCTTTGTCGAGGGCGAGATCCGCCACGGCGTCCGCGCCGAGGCCGCCCTCACAGCAACGGACCTCATCTCCCGCCGCACCCGCCTCGCCTTCCTCGACGCTGAGTCCGCGCTCCGCGCCCTCCCGCGCGTGATTGACGTCATGGCCGAGGAGCTCGGCTGGGACGCGGCCCGCAAGGACCAGGAGTGGACCGAGACAGTGCACTTCCTCCGCTCCATGGGTCTCTCCCCCGAAAAGTTCGGCGTTACGCGCGCAGAGGTTCTCCGCAGTGGCAGCGCGACATCGGCGTACGCGCCCAAGTCGCAGATTGCTGCCTCGGCTAGTGGGATCAAGTTTGCACCGAATGAGATCCAGGCTGGTGGTGCCCTGGCGAGAAACATTACCGAGGCATAGGAAGCATCTCTTCTCTTGTGAGAGATGTTCCTTGTCTTATTATTTCCTTGTGTTTTTGACGATAAGTGTGCGAAGGCGAGAGCAAAAGAAGGGAGCGAGAGCAGTTTGGCCGAAAAAGTTGAACCCAAGTATTTTCTACTTGACAGAATACTAGGATAACCAAGAGCCGATGGCCGCTCCAATGTGTGTTTGGATTTCAATCGAAAACCCTGGGATACCTAGATAGATCGGGTATTGGCGTCTTTGGGAAAGGGGATTGGCATTTTGAGAGGAGCATGAACTGTGTACGATTTTCTCATTTGATCCATCCAACCTTTTGTTTGGTTTTTACCTCCTTTTGCTAGTTCATTAGTAGCATATGGCATCAACGCCGTACGTACACAAGTCCTTCTCCGATATTGGAGTAGGATAGGTACATTAGTGCGTTACATCGATTACCCGCATAGATGGCTTTGACCATTGAATATCAAGATATCATTATATGCTATTTGCTTATCTTTCCCATATTTGATACGACGAAATGATGCTTGGAAGGTGCTCGTCTAAATTTACTTTGCCCTTCTTGTTGTCTTGACCCTATATCGTCAGACTTTCAAACTACTTGCATCATTGAATCAGGTCCTGTATATCACGAGTCATTCTCGACTCCATGAAACTCATGAGTGACATCTTCGTGCCCCCAAAAACGACGTCACCGCCGTGACTCGCGCAAAAACCCACCACCGGCCAATCCCCAACTAACCGTCCTTCTTTTTCGGGGGCAAGACGCGCCATTGGTCCGTAATCTTCAACCCGAACCCCTCGGCGATATCGCACCCGCCGCGTCCCCACTTCAGCTCAAAGACCCGGCGCCCGGCAGCGACCAGTACCTCAAAGGCTTCTGCGAATCCAGCAGCGTCGTAGTAATACGGCTCGCCCTCGCCGCCGTGCTGGCTCTTTTGCCACGAGTTGCGGTTGTGGTCGCTGTCTCTATACTTGTAGTTTGTCATTTCCAGGCCCGTTCGGACCATGGCGCGGAAGGACTCTGCCTCGTCTGTGATGGTGGTCTTCGCTGCGAGTTCGTCATCTCGCTTTTCGCCCTTCTTCTTTTCGTCTTCGGGTTTCTTCTCTTCCGGCGGCGGGGGCGGAGGCGGGGGAGGGGGATTCGGGTCGACCATTTTCGGCACCGCACCGGGCACCCTGTAGAGAACGGACAGGTCTTCTAGGTGCGTCGAAATGTCGTTGATGATGCCCGCCCTACGGTGCTTCATCGACCAGCCGTCCATGGCCAGGCGCGCATTCATGTCGCAGTCGGTCGCGTAGTACGGAATCAGCGAGTCCCACCCGCCAATGGCGTCTATCGCGGCGCGGTTGACTAGCGTCAAGTGGTCGTACTGGTACCATCTGAAGCCCCACCTCTCGTCACGCCTTAATGTGGTGTCGAGGTCTCGCAGGCAGTTCTCGTAAATGGTTCGATAGCCTGGCTGTCCCGCCGCAGGCGGGTTCATGATCTCATTTTGCTCCTCCTCATCGTAAAATTCCCATTTGCGGTCGCCGGGCCGGTGGGTGTCGTCTTTGCCGTCCTCAAAGGAAAAGACAAGGACGTCCTGGTGGGAGTAAAAGTAGTACGGCCAGTCGTTCTTATGCGCCTCGTGCAAGAACATGTTTTGCATCTGCGAAAAGGAGAGTAGAGCGGGCGCCTGGATGACGTTTACACCCAGGCGCTTCAGAGTCGTGTGGTTCAGGTAGAACTGGTTCTGAAGAGAGAGCTTGCCCTGAGCGTTGGCGAACTGGACACCCGTGTTCTCGAGGACGTGGATGCTAGAGGGCGGCCAGCCTGCTGTGATGTAGCTGACGACGCATTGCAAGAGTATGGGCCACTGACGGGTGAAGCCGATGAAGAGTGGTGGCTGCGTATCGAGGCCGTAGTCTTTGTGTAGGTCGTTGCGCGGGAGGTTGTGCGCGGGGATCGAGGGGGACGGCGAGTCGGTGTTGGCGAGGAGAGGGAAGGGGTCGATCGCCGGAGGCGAGGTGTACGTCGGCGCTGGCTTATAGACCGGGGTCTCGGAGAAGAGCGACTGCTTGTTGTCCTTATCATTTGTAGATGACGGCGTAGTCTTTACGTGTTTGGCGAGGTCGTAGAGTGAATCCAGGTTGATGATGCTTTCGTGGAAGCGGACGAGGACAAGAACCAGAGCGAAGAGGGCGGCTAGGGGAAGGATCGTCCGTAAGCGGGAGTTGATAGCGACCATTGTATGGTTTGGAAAGGTGTGGGTCAGCGCATTGCAGAAGGGAAGAGCAGAGGAATGCGGTCGAGCTCGGCGTGAGTAAGGCTCGTAGAAGACGACAACATTGTAGGAGAGCAAGGAGGAGGCTGCGCCGCGAAGCAGACGGGAGTCGACGCTATTAGGTTGGGGATCATCATGGTGTGAGGCGAGACGTGTGCCGCGCGTGTGTGACGAATGGGAAAGGCACGTTCCTTCAGCCGCGTTGTCTCTCGTTGGCAGCTGCAAAGAAAATGCCTGGAATGCCTGGGAATGGGCGACGTTTCTCAGACACGCAAGTTGCCACAGGGGAAAGTGCCATGCAGCTTCCTTGCTTGTTTGGTTCGGAAGGTGGGTGAGTGTGTGGACTGTGACACTGTGTATGGAAGGCGCAACTTTTTTTTGGGTCCTGCTATTCGTGTACAAACAAAGTGAAGGAAAGGACGTTCCAGAGCTGGGAGATTGGGAGCTGTAGCCTGCCGCGCTAATGCTCCAAAAAGCTTAGCTGACACGGGACGAATGTGCCTCTTTCCGCCCAGCTTGTTAGTCTCAGTTGGCCGATTGACCAATTAGAGAAGTGTATGTTCTCGCGGACGGATTACGGCAGATTGGGTGGGGGTTGGATCCTTGACGTTACAGGCACCTTAGCTGTCAAAGGATTCTACGAGTACCTCGGATACTAGGTAGGGACTAGGTCGGTAGGGATGATTATACGAACTTTGGCCTCATCTGTACCTTCATTTGCAGCTGCCTAGGAAATTTTGCAATGTGTCTTGGCAGTAAGAAAACCCTGAACTGTTGAATTGCTAATAAAGTTGGCCATGCCCTCCTGTCATGATAAGGACAGGTTAGTCAGAGGGGTAAACCACAAAAGAACATGAGATACATTACATGCTACTGTTCATACAAGCAATACCCCCCGCCTTGGCGCATCTAGACATGCCTCAAAGGGCACAGGAAGGAGCAATAGGGATCAAGAATGTTTCACATGCCACTAACCAACATGCGGTGAGCCTGTTTTCTTCTTTTGTTAATTCATGTCTTCAATGTGCAAATGTCTTCTCCAATATCCTACCAGCTCCCTATGTCCATTTACAGTTTCATGTGCCTAATCTCTAACAGCATGTAATAATATGCCAAATTGTTGTAGGCTAATGAGATCTGGAGGAGCTTCCGGTTGAAAGGTGAGTGTATGACCTCGTAAATTAGGTTTAACATAGATTTCTTTCCATTTTGGCTTTCAGCGAGCCACTAGCTACCAAGAACGCGCATACAAATTGAACTTCTCATCATCTAGTAACCTTCCTCCTCCAATCTCTGAGTTCTAACACGAGATCTCGACAGACGCATGCAAGACTGAATGGCAGTCAAGGTCGCCATCGGGAAGGGTAAAACGGCTGCCACGGCAGTTCGATCCACTGAACGTCTTGATCGTACAGTCCCTGGGCGAGGTTAGACGTTGTCCAAGTTGGCAGTGACGGGTAGACATACCTCTTCTGAAGGACTTTGATGGATCTCTTATTGGTGACAGGTATGCAGCGGTAGGCGCCGCTACCAGTCACCTCAAATGTGCTCTGGTCTGCATTGCAGAGGTCGTCACTGAACGAGACGACCTTGACCCAGTCGTCTCTGGTCTCGAGATTCACTGGGTTAGCGATGGCCACAGTGACCAGAGAGGTGATGATGGCAAGAGTTGAGAAGTGCATCGTGAGATTTAGACAGGCCGAGACTCGAGTTCAGAATTTGGTATGAAGGTGAGGCGCCTCAAGTAAGATCCTGTAAATATGATGAAGAGTAGATGCGAGTGAAGCAGAACAGATAGGGAGAGAGGCTATTGTCTTCTACTTATAGTGATGAGAATGCCCGTGAGGGAGAGATCAGAGCAGGCATGGATTGGTATCACTAGAATAGATAGAAACTTTTTCTAAGGCGCCTTATAGATAATTCGATTCGGACGAATTGAGGAACGCATACCCGCACGCAGGAGGTTCTACATGCGGACCACAAGAAGGATTTCTGCTGACGCTGGCACCGCTGTCGTTCAAAAGCAACTAAATTCTTGCTTTTTACCATCATACTTGTCCTAGGATAAGTAGATCCTTCGTTCTGAAATTGTGATCTCTGATACGTTCGTATGACCTCAGGTTGACACAAAAGTCCAATTTGAGAGGTAGTCGTGGCACCTGGCCTTGGAATCTTGAACCAGGATCAACTCAAATGCTGGACCCGGACCGTGACTGATATATGCAAGGCAGCATGGCCAAAAGGAAGCTTCGAGGAATCGGAGGTTTCGAAAGACTGTATAGACCGTAAACCATCCAATGTCATGGCAGATGCGACTGTGGATGACTGACGTCCGAAGGGCGGATCTAGGCCCCCTGATAACTTGCAGCAACGTACCTCACGTGCCTTGTCATCAGGAACAAGCATGCGTCTAAAGACACGAAAAGTTTCATTGAATATAGCCCGTTTAATCTCACTTACTAGAGTCTCTTGCTGCTGAGATGAGAAATGTTGAATTGAGCTGCCTAAAGTCTCTCGTAAACTCAATATATCAATGGACTCTCTGGGTTTCTTGCTCTGGCAATGGAGGAATTGGGGTTAATTTAGCGATGGAGAATCGCGGGGTAAATCTCCAACAAGACCGGAGAATCCCCGGCTCGGCTTTAGCAGATTACATAAGAAGAGAGCCGCGCACTTTTACCCCGCCAAAAAGCGCATTGGGCCGGCTCACCCCGCCACAGGGCGTGGACTGCAGGACCGAACATCGGGACGGCCGATTACGCCATTCAAACGCTCCAGACGGGAATGGGTCTCAAGCAGCCGTGAAGCAAATCAGCGTCTTGCAATTTTCGGAGCTTCGTTCTGGAGTGCTACGGATAGGTAATCGAGGAGGCCGACTCACAACCCTCTTCGCCGTACTGCTCCGATTCTCTCTCTCATCCATTGCCCTCTTCATGACCTCTCTCGTCCTCCCTCTCTTCCGGTCGCGCATCATCAGCACCAGTACCGCCAGACGAGGTTTCCAGTCAACCGCAATGTCTCTCAGCAGCAAGATCAAGCCCGCGGCCCGCGTTGCCGGCCGACGACAGGATGTCTGGTGTGTATTGAGATCCCGGTCATGAGAGAGACAAGTATGCGCCTGCGCTACTTTTGACGCATCTCTGTTGGGCAAAGACGGACAATTGAGTGCAGAATGCTGACCTTGAGTCCAGGTCCATCATCAACGAGGCCGCTGCCGCATCGCCCCAACAGCCCATCGTAAACATGGGCCAGGGGTTCTTTGGCTACAACCCTCCCGACTTCATCCTCAACGCTGCCAAGCAAGCGCTGGACCGCGTCGAGTGCAACCAGTACAGCCCTACCAAGGGCCGCCCAAGACTCAGGAAGGCTATTGCGGACGCCTATTCTCCTCACTGGGGCCGCAAGCTGGATCCTGAGACCGAGGTCACCATCACCACTGGCGCAAATGAGGGTGGGAAGAGGAGTCTATCAGATGAGAACCAAGGACAATGAACTGACTGTTGACCAGGCATGCTGAGTGCTTTCATGGCCTTCATTGAGCCCGGTGACGAGGTCATTGTGTTTGAACCCTTCTTCGACCAGTAAGCCAGACCATGAGTGTAGTCCGTGATACGTCCTAGACATGCTGACTCTTTGCAAAGATACATTAGCAACATTGAGATGCCCGGCGGCAAGATCACCTACGTTCCCCTGCATCCTCCCACAGACGGCGCCACGACGACATCGTCCGCCGCTAACTGGACCATCGACTTTGACGAGCTCGAGCGCGCCATCACGCCAAAGACCAAGATGATCGTCCTCAACACACCGCGTTCGTCGCCACCGCCTTAATAGCCCAAGTGACTAGGCACATTTCGCTAACATTCTAACACAGATAACCCCGTTGGCAAGGTCTTCTCCAAGGAGGAGCTCCAGAAGATTGGCGACTTGTGCGTCAAGAACGAGATCATCATCCTCTCCGATGAGGTCTACGACCGCCTGTACTACGTTCCCTTCACGAGAATCGCCACGCTCTCACCCGAGGTTGAGCGCCTCACTATCACCGTCGGCTCCGCGGGCAAGAACTTTTACGCTACCGGCTGGCGCGTCGGCTGGCTCATGGGCCCTGCTGAGCTTATTCAGCACGTTTCTGCGGCGCATACTCGCATTTGCTACTCTTCCGTCTCGCCCCTGCAAGAAGCCTGCGCTGTCGGTATGCTTCAGCCTCCATTATCCTCCTTCAATAAGCCTCCAATTTGAATGAGACTAATTCCGCGTCCAATAGGTTTCGAACAAGCCGAAAAGGAAGGCTTCTGGGACGAGACAATCAAGGACATGAAGGGCAAGATGGACCGCTTCAACGAAGTGTGGAAGGAGCTCGGCATGCCCTACTCGGAGCCCGAGGGCGGCTACTTTGTCCTCGTCAACATGGCCAAGGTCAAGCTGCCCGAGGACTACCCGTTCCCGCCCCACGTCGCCAGCCGCCCGCGCGACTTCAAGCTCGCGTGGTTCCTCATCCAGGAGGTGGGCGTCGCCGCCATCCCGCCCACCGAGTTCTACACGGACGACAATGCGCACATTGCTGCGGATTACATTCGGTTCGCGGTCTGCAAGGAGGACGAGGTGCTTGAGACGGCCAAGGAGCGTCTTCGTGGGTTGAAGAAGTATATCAAGGAATAGATGCAGGTACGGCTATATATCATTGTCCCATAGAAGGCGCAAGTCGCGGTGACACGAGTATGTACCATACCTCGTCATGATTTCTATTTTTCTACCATTTCAAAAGAGTGAATAGACAAAATCCGAGCCAAATAGTTTCTGCCTTGAATACATCTCTACCGCCCATTTTTAGTTGCCGGAGATTATTCATCCACGTTTTATTTACGTCAAAAAATGACACCACAGCGCTCAATGGTGATGGTGATGGCGCCGATGACTGAGTCCACCGCCCATAGACGGCGCGCAAGCATCGCCGACGCCACCGAGCGCCCCGGCTTCCTGGCAAATGTTCTCGGGACCGCAGTAGGTGATAAAGAGGAGGCCCGAGTCGCCCGGGACAGGGACACCTGATGGGGCACACCAGAAGATGGACTGCTTGATGTGCGCGTCGTCAATGGACTGTCTTCCTGATGACAGGGCGCCTTCAATCGCCTTGCGGTTGTTGGAGTCTACGCTTGATGTTAGAATAGAGGTTGCGGAGGATTTGAAATGAGATATGAGAAGATCTGAGTAAGAGGTACAAACCAACTTTGAGAAGGCGCGAGCCGCAGTAGGTTTCGGCTTGGGTGCAGACTACGGCGGAGGCAGCGCTGATGAGGGTGGTGATGATGGTGACGATGAGGACGAGACGAAACATCTTCGCTTTGACTATTTTGCTTTCTTTTCTTGATGTCGGAAATTATGATTGACGGTTGTTGAAGACTTTTCTGCAACGTGTCAATTTGTCTGGGCCTTTGATGCGCCTGTCGTAAAGTTCGTGAAGGGATGGTGACTCCTCCCTTTGGTATCCCTTTGGCACAGGGCGGCGGTGACGATAGGACTGTGAGCTCAAGCTCCGCTCATAAACAACGCACGATTGAGAAGTCGTACGAGTCAGGGCACATTTTTATCTTGATGAAAGAACTAAGGCGGTGCATCCTGCGTGATGGTGTGGTGGTGCTTTTGTGACTTGGTCAAGTCCGCAAACAGCACGGCGACATAGCGGCTAGTAGTGAACAGCATAGCAATTGGAACAGTCACGAGCATAATGAACCAGGGAAATGATATGTGTACTGATGCTTGATTCAATTATTGACCTGTGCCTTCAGGTCTATCAAGCTATCCGAAAGCCTGTGAGGGTATCACGAGACGTTGTCGCCCCAAGCATGCTGCATGATCTAGACCCAATCGATGCCCAGATCCATTACCTCCGTGTCACCCAAACGCCAATCTGAGCTATCAAAAAGCCCCAAACTGCCATCACCAGAGCCCCAAATTGCTATTAGAAGTGAAGTGTAAGGGTCGAAAGTGAAGGCGGAATCGTGACGGGGAAGACACAACCGCAAGGTGCTTAAATCTCGCCAACGTTGGCACCATCAGTGTTGGCACCGCCAGCGTCCGTGCCGCCAGACATCTCAACGTCGTCCTCCTTGTCAATCCAGTCTCTAACGGCAAGCTTGGCGACATCAGCGGCAGGAGCGTCCTCGCCATCAGCCTCCTTGTTCTCAGCAGCGCTAGCAGCCTCCTGGTTCTCGGAAGCAGCCTTCTCGGCAGCAGCAGCCTTCTTGCCCTTGGCAGGGGTCTTACGCTTAGCGGGGGTAGCCTTTTTCTTGACAGGCGTCTCGAGCTCGGCATCCTCATCGGCGTTCTCATCACCCTCGGTGGTCTTGGTGGCGGCCTTGCGGGTAACAGCGGCCTTCTTCTTGGCCGGGGTGGCGCGCTTCTTCTTGACAGGGGTCTCGACGACGAGCTTTTCCTCGCCGTCCGAGTTCAGGTTGGCACCAGCAGCGAGCTCATCGGCGTCGTCAGAGCTAGTAGCGGTGGCAGCCTTTCTCTTGGACGGGGTAGCGATCTTGCGCTTGGCAGGGCTGTTGCCGGCGCTGTCGCTGCCCTGGGCGGGAAGGTCGGCAAAGAGCTTCTTCTTGATGGCGAGCCAGGCGTTGGAGGCGGAGCGATGGTTGGACATGCCGCAGGCGGCGGCGAGCTTGGGATAGTCAACCTGGAAGAGAAAATATGGTCAGCTTTGGTCGATACGTGAGGTGAATGGTGAAGTGAAGGCGGTGGATTAGAGTATGGCTTACCTCGGGAGCACTCTTCAAGGAGCTCCAGGCGTGCTGGAGGATCTCAAGCTCGCGATCGGTGAGGGCGGGCTTGGGGGCAGTAGCAGCCTCGGAGGAAGAGCTGGCGGAAGACATGGTAAATGAGTCTTGATGATAGTGCGATGATGAATGAATGGGTTATGATGAGAGGTGAGCAGTTGCAAGTAAATTTGTAAGGGTGCACAACGTTGGAAGGTTGTGGTGATGTGGAAGGGTGAAGAGGGAGGAGAACTTTGTGAATGTGTAGAGGTATGGATCTCAGAAGAGGAATGAGGTGGTGTGAAGAAGAAGGAATTGTCCGTCTAGCTGGAGAGGAAATATTCTTTAATGGGAGGACCTGCAGCAGATAAGTTGCAGACGGTAGAAGTTGATGAAGAGGTGGAAGATGCCAAAGGCAAGTATGAGATTGAGAGCGGTGTAGAGGACAGAGTGAGAGCGAAGATGAGTGAGTAAGTAATCTTTCATGAGCGGTGAAGCGGAAGAGGAAATCTTTTTATCAGTTAAATAACAAATCTTAAATAAGAAGGAACGATCACTCAGCGGTTTCTGACGGCAATAAGTGGCCGAAGATCATAGAACGTGTCCAAGGCAACAGTGAACCATAGACAAAGTAGGTCGGCCGAGATAGGGAATATTTCCATTTGCACCAACTGGAACTAAGACAAAAAAAAATACGAACAGTCATGGACCCCTTATAGGAGTATGGAAAATGTTCTTTATTGCGTCCTCCTACTTCCGCGCTGCACCATCATGTGAGGCAAGTGCGAAAATTTCGATCTAGACCTCTGAGGACTTCATTCGGGTTTTCTAATGGGCGCTACGTTCTTGACTTGAATTCTTCAGTCATTTTCGTTCAGCTTCTTCTGACTCATTAGATTTCTCTTTGTTCAGAGAGCGGAATATGCGTCTGACTTGGCTGACTTTCTGAATATTCAACAGGCAGGCCGCAATACCTCCAAATCGAAGATCAGCATGAAAAGCTAAAGAACCTCGGCTTGGAGCACGAGAATGTCGAAACGTACTTAGCAAGAACATCACCAGAATATTTCACTGAAATGGTTTTTGACATTCAATTGCCCTTAAACTGGGTCTGGTGCTGCTCACTTGCTGATTCGTGTGATACTTGCCAGGAACCCCTCCCTCGACCCGAAATAATACGCTGCCACACCGGTCAGTCCCGGTACCACAACCCATGTCGCCTTCCTCGCGATCGCAACAGCCCCCTTCCTGATGATGATCTGAAGCTTCTCATGGTATGCCTCATGATCATTGACATGCGGAAAGGGAACGTCCAGAGATAGGCTTCCCCATAAAGGCACAGTCGTTCCCACCCGTCCTTCAGGTTATAGTTGAGCAGCCGGTTGGGCGGCGTCTCTCTCCGAATTGTTGCATAGTGGTTTCGATACCCGTCGCAAGCCTTCTCGAGGACTTCCTTCTTTGTATCTGCGTCAAAAGTGAACTTCAACCACCTGAAGGTGATGTCGTCATTCTCCGCCACGTACTTGGCTCGCAACCACGATAGGAATGGCCAGACGGAGTTGAAGGCGGCAGTGACGATACTCTCGTCAAAGCTCTTGTACCAGGAATCGATGTCACACTCCACAAGTACCACCTTGGAATAAGGGTATGCTGCCACCAGCTCGGATCCGAAGAAGTTGGCTGGCATGTCGCAGTGACCAAGCAGCTGGTCGAACTCTGTGCGGCCAAATAGTTGCTGGCCCGGCTTGGGGGTCTGCTTCGCGTGCATGCCCTCCATCCACATTTCAACTTCGCGGATGTTTGAGACCATGGCGAATCCGTAATAAACGTCGCTGTACCCGAGGATCATGAGGGCTCTTTGCATAGCTGTAACTAGGTAGAACCTTTGATGCGTTGCCAATTGAGCCGAAGATCTCCGCGCTTTCGGAAGTTATTTACACGACGTGCCGGTCTTGGACATGCCCAGAGCTAGGACTTCGAGAGGCACCACATGCTTGCATTGCCGCCGATCAACGTTCAGGTCCGGCCTGAAAAGCTCCGGGTGCTTCTCTTGCTCACTTTGCATTTGAGACATTGTGGGCTTGACTGAAGCATAGTATTCGTGGTTTGCCGATGGAGACCAGCACGGGGTAACGGCCAGCCTCGAATGCTGGAGAAAGCTCGCAGATAAGGCAATTAAAGCATTCCACTTGTTAGGAATCAGTGAAATGGAATTTTTGCTCGGCGATCCTACTTTCCCAAGACGAACCCAGCGTTGGTTGTGAACTGAGAACCTCGGTTCTACGAAGTTCCTTCAACCCCAGCTTGTCACATAGGATCGTATCATATCCACAGACGACAAGCATCCTGTGGCTCCGGAGGAAATTCATCGTCTCCGCAGCTGGGAATCCGGCTTTGTAGTGTCTTGGCTCCGCACATCGCCTCCGATGAGCCAGGATCTCATTTCGTGGCTGAACTTTACCGCACGAATGGAAGTACCTGGTTCCTTGGACGATGGTGAGAAACTCGTGAGTTTTAGCGGAACCAGACATGAATTCGTCAAGATAATTCTAACGTAGAATACGTTCAAGCGAGATCACGAAACACCAAGTGAGTTCTAGATCCTCAGCTACCCACACTTTGCGCACCCGCTGATACCAGTATTATGACCAAGATCGAGGATACGCATTTTTGGATAACCGAATTCGTAGATGATACTCGGTAAGATTTAAGTCCTTTCTCGGACGTTGAGATGTCATGTTCTTTTATCTCAACTTCAGGCTACGGATCTGGGCAGGCAGTTTGTCATCAACTTGGACTTGTGTATGTATTTTAGGGTAGGGGTCGGGACTCTAAGAGCTGGCACGTAGGAGAAAACTGGAAGAAACGATGAGAACGACCTAAATTCTCGGATGTTGGGAAGACTCGCAAGACGTCCTTAGCTGGAGCCCTTCTTCAACCAGATATTCTGTTTGTTGGAGACTTCCCCCCTCACAAATCAAGGATGCATAGGTAAAGGGCTAGATCCTTGCTTGAGAACCAACAAAGAGGTCCACAACATCTTTCATGAACATGATAATCACCATTAGGAAATATTGCCGCGGAGATTCATTGATGGAAAAGCATGCCGCGTGGGATAGCCACTGGACATGGGTCAATGTCTGATTGACCTCATTGGAACCTTGGAACCAACATGTCGTTTTGATGTCGATTATTATTCCGCACTCAACGTTCTTCAAAGTTCTCGATCCCCCATTAAATGTAGGTTACACAAGGTAGTCTTCGCTTTCGTCCATCATCTTCCGCCCATCCCTCCTGGGCCCGTCAACATCTCGAAGTTTCCGACATGGCGACCGTCGCAGATGTCGTATACATGGCTGAACCGCCCAACGGCGAAGCTAGATTTGCAGCCAGGACAGTCGGTGTCGGTACGACAGCTGCAGGAGTCTCGACGACCGTTGTTTCCTTGTTGGCCGTTTTTCTTCGAATATTTACGAGACTACATGCCGTAAAACGGAGTCTAGGCGTTGATGATTGTGAGTTAAGTCATTGCTGACTGTTCTTATAGAATCATCTGGTAACCTGAAAGACCTGCTAATGAGACAAAAACAGATTTGATCTTTTCTTCCTGGGTCATGAGCGTTGCCTTCTTAGTCACAGGAATCAAAAGTAAGTTAGCAGTCGTTCCTGACATCCCGAATTTATTCATACTTACCCACCCACCTAGTGATCGATCTCGGCATTGCATCAAATTTCTGGCAGGTGACTTATGCGGACTATGATCCCGGCTGCCTGATTGTAAGTTCACTGTTGACGATCACAAGCTACTTCGAATACAAGTGGAATTTACGGACGCGGTGGTTTGGCAAGCTGATTAGAGTATGTGTTTGTACGGCACGTGTACGACCATGACGTATTCCCTCAGTGTTGTGCTCGCAAAACTATCTCTACTGTTCCTCTATCTGCGGTTATCCCCGGATAGAAGCTTTCGAATCATCGCCGTAATCCTCATCGGAGTCGTTGTCGCTTATTCCGTGGCGTATCAACTCTTGAGCGTTTCCAGTTGTCGCCCTGTCTACGCATCTTGGGACACAGAGGCACTACAGACTGCTCAATGTATCGGACTGCTCAATGTGTCGATAAGGAGACTATTCACATGATACTCAGCATCGCTAACACCATTATGGACGTGGCCATCTTGATGCTTCCCCTGAAGATCGTCATTCCACATCTGATGGCTAGGAGGCAAGAGGCTTCTGTCATCTTGCTGTTTGCCACTGGCACCTTGTGAGAAGTCTCGCGTTCCTTCTATCTGTATTATTTCCTAAAATAATTGCACAAGCCCCAACTGCGGCATAGTATCTGCGGATCGGCGATCAAATGGACAATCATCCTCCCCCCGTGCTGAAGAGTGCCGATTACAGCTGGGATGTAGTCGAACAATTCAACTGGTCCTTTCTCGAGGCAAATGCCGCAATTGCGTGAGCCTCGGTTCCTGGATTGCAGCCCTTCTTTGTTCGATACCTGCCAAGCTTCATTTCTTCACGGATCACCGGCTCAGATGACAAGAGCGGAAAGAAGTCATTGCCATACTCAACGGTCACAGAGAACAACAGGAAAAGACGCAACTTACAAAACTACAATCACACGACGATCTTCCAGAAAAGAGTCTAGGTAAGGCGGAATCTAGCGATGACGAAATTAAGCTGTGGTCTGGAAGGAGGTATCGCAAGGATCTTGTCAGCGAGCGGGAGACAATCATTGAGTCTGAACCGAAACACCACAAACGGATGTGTAGCGGAATAATTCATGCTGCCAATGTGATTGACTCCGATGATATTGAGTCAGCTTCACTTGCGGAAAGAAATGATGGTCGAATTACACCGTCAACGGCCGCACGGATTCAGGTCACCTACGAGACCAAAGTTTCATAAGATTCCCGGATACAGTAACTATTGAGTCAAAGGACTTCTTGCAATTACTTCGTAACCTTGAGTTGGAACCTAGCATGCTCGCAATATCAGAACACAGCATGAAGACGCCATCAAATTTTCCCATGAGCAAGTCGTCCGTAGGCGCCAGTAACTTTCGGTCTATCCGCACAAGTTGTTGTTTCTCACAACACAACACCAAGCACCACTGAAACGCACACTTGTCATCACGTAACTAAAATCACGAAGCCACATCGATACTGATATTCTAGGCCGTCGTATTCGATTCGAGTGCCCCCATGGTAAGGCATTACGACTGGTCAACCCATAGTCGCTCCGCTCGTTGTCAATGAAGAGGTGAAGCAACGGCTGCGCCTCCCAACGACTCAGTGACCGTCGTGAGATCGTCGTTGCCCTGGTGGTCTAGCGGTATGATTCTTCCTTAGGGTTGTCATTAGACACATCCACCTGGAAGAGGCCCCAGGTTCGAATCCTGGCCAGGGCCCTTATCCTTTTGTCTGATCTCCACCAGCTCCTTAGTGGAGCGTGGGTTCATTTTTGAAGTAGGGCCGATGATTCTCTACCAAGGGTACGGAATATTTGGACTTGCTGAGGGAAACTACTCATGCAACATGCCTTTGTTTCTTGGCTTTGGCTGAGAACTTCGACAATTTGGCTTAATTGGGCGCGTGAAATGTCGTCTCGGATGGTTCCTGACATAACCAATTCTATGTGTGCCGCGTGTTCAATTTTCATCCGAGCTGGGATAAGAATTAGTCAGTGTCTCACTATTTTGGGGTGAGCCAAACTTGCTTGGAACGTGGGTAATGCCTCGCCTCACTACTTTAAAGGAGGCCTGGGAATTTGTTACTCAATATCCAAAAGTGCGGATAGGGTCTGTTACCTCATGGAAACGCTCTTCTGCATGTTAGAGGTTGTTCACCCATAGGTTGAGGAATCATGTACAAAGGCTGACGGAGGTGGACTCAATATCTCCCATGAGACAAAGCAAAATGCATCCGAACAAGCAATTGACATCAACATCGTGTAAGCATTAAGTGGTGAGTCATCTAGGCTAAGCTAGTCTACTGAAATCTATCGGGTATCATCTCTATATTATTAGACCGGCCTGGTTATGCAAATTTGGGGCACTAAAGTGTTTTCTTCCAATCCCACTTAGTTGCCATGCCTCTCGAACATGCGATTGTAATGCTACCCAGACCAAGGGTCACACCTGCCCAGATCCAAGCGCTAAAGTAGCCAACTGAGCGCACGAGTGCGCCTCCAACTGGAGAACCCAGCAGCAGAGCAACAGACATTACGGCATAAGCCATACCAAGTCTGGTTCCGATGTACTTCTTGTCCTCCGTAAGGAGAGAAAACGTAGCCGGCTGCAGAGAGAAGAAGGCTCCGCTACTGGTTCCGTAAAATATGACCGTCACCAGCAGCCCGGGAGTGTGGGTGACAGCGGAAAGGCAGAAGGCCGAGATCGACAAGGTTGCTACTGCAACGATGAGCATGTTCATCCGTCCAAGTTGAGCGGTGAATAAGATGGGGACAGTGCGTCCGACAATGGATGCGCCGTTGAGGATCGCAAGCAGGTACTTGTCGATCTCCGTGCTGACAGCATGCCTTGCCAACGCGTAACCTGGGATGTAGACAAAAGGAGTGTACATGCCAAGGAAGACGAGGCAGCAAGCTCCCACAAAAAGTAGGTAAGGGGCGTCTTTGAAGGCAGTGCGGTCGATTAAGGGTCTCCTGAATGCTGATGGTTTGGGTGGCTCCATGGTCACGATGGAAATGCTAAGGGTTGCCAGCGCGATCAGCGCCATGGTGCGCACAGTCCACCGGAAACCAATCTCTGGCTGAATCGATCTGAATAGAATCGGCAATACCAGGCTGTGGGCAGAGGATGTTAGTACCAGCCTTAGCCGGCGGGATACTTTCTGGGCCACCGGAGATTTTCAATGAGTGAAGACTTACCCGCCAACACCGCTTCCAGCCGCTGCAATCCCGGTTGCCATGGGTAGCTTTGTGGTGAACCATGGTGATAGAATGGCAACTCCCAACACAGCTAAAGCTCCCTGTCCAACACCAACGCAGAGTCCTTGCGTCAGTAACAGTTGCCAGAGGTTGTGGCTCAGACTTTGGAGGATGGACCCGGTGACGATCAACATGGTCCCCACCCAGAGGAGCTGCTTGGCGTATCCCAAGTCGAAGATGGGGCCGGCAAAGAGACCCAGGAACACCATGAGGAAACTTTGCAACGAGCCAATTGTGGAAATAGCGAAGGAGCTGTGTTCCTTCAGGAGGTGACCCTCGTAATAGACCTGGAAGGTACCAAAGCTGGCAACCAGTCCTGGAATATTGTTAGTTCTAAACACTCTCGAGGCTTGGCTTAATCCCTAAATTGATGCAGGCTATGCGGGCCCCGCGGGATGTCATTTGCCCCCCCCCCCCCAAAAAAAAACCAATGCACTGGGCGATGCATCATTGTATGGGCGGAGATTCCGACTTATCACTTACCCCACGTGTTGAAATAAATGAAAAACGAGCCAAGAACTTGAAGCCAGGCCTTGTAGCCTCCGTTCGGGGGGCCCGTCGGCTTAGTGGGCGACTGCGGCGGTGACTTGAAGTCATCATTACCATCGCTACCACTCTCTTCGTCGAGCTTCTGCATTGGGTCTTCGCCCGGCCCGTAGGACTTTTCTTTATCGGATGTGTACTCCATGTTTCTCTTAATACGAATAGGTTGGGTCGTATCGACCGCGGTTATTGCTAGCGCTGCAGGCGGCGGTGATGCAAGTACCGGGATGGTATGTCGTGCGGTCTCTTCCTCGATTGGTGGACTTGGGTGCGGCTGTGGCGTTGGTCGTACTGATTCGTTGTCAAGGCCGGCTTGATTAACAGAGCGAGAGATCATCCAGCGACGACGACGAAATGAATGAATTAACGATAGGTAAAGAGCTTGCTCTGCAAGCCTTTCTGACATCTATCCAGTTCTCCCACCTGAGCAAAAGAACGAGCAAAGTTGGAAAATTAGCCTTCCGTTTTGTTTAAGTACAATAGACGGAGGCCTCCACGGACCCCCTCAAAAAGCCGCCTGGGCCTCGCCGCAGCTCGGGTTGCGCCGCCCGCGGTCGCAGGCCACGTTACAGAGACCAGATGGACCTGCAAGTATGTCGTTGTTGCGATGATTTGGGGGAAAGTATAGCGGTAACCTTACCGTTTCCAGGTGAGATGTAAATAACCTGAAGCGAGGGGCCGCGAGTAAAATAAGGTGCAAGTCAGGCACAGTGGCCCTGGCTGTTATTGTTCGGGAAACTTCCAACGTCTCGGAGACCAGACAAGTCTTGACGCGGTCTGAAGAGTCAGGAAAGCTTGAGGATTTTGGTGGTTCGAGGCCCAATGAGGAAGCCGGATCGGCCAGAGCGGTTAGGGATCAACGTTGCAGGATGCGGGAGACGGAAAACAAAAGGTGTCAGAGTAGTCTATTACTGAACACTTCACTCGTAGGGATAACTCGCAAGCTACACATCGCTTTTGGCATTTATGAGGCGGACCTCCCTAGGAAGAAATGTCCGCAACGAGGGGGAGTCATCATGTCACATTGCGAGAATCCTCCAACGTCTCGGACCTGTTCTGGAATCTGCGAATGCCAACGGCTTTGAGGCATTTGAACCTCGTCGAAACCTCGGAGTAGTGGAGTTGGCGATTGATAATTCTTGTGCGATTGTGGTTAGGTTACACTGGGCGGTGAATGAGAAACTGCTTCTTTGAGTCTTTCTGAGCTGTTCGGCCACAGTCCGTTGTTTGGTAGCGGGGTCTTATCAGCTTTTTGGCGTCGTCGTCTGCTATCTGAACGCCGAACTGCAGACAAAAGCAGTTCGGGGCTCCTCTTCATAGATAAAAAGATACCGAGGCCCTCCTTATGTACGTCTTGGCGCGGTGATCGAAAATCGGGGACTGAATTTTCAAGAAAGCGGACTTAGAAGTTATTAGCTAAGAGCCTGAGAAACAAAGCGCGAGTTCCCGCTAATTAGTTGCCGCCCTAGTGGCCGCGCACCGGTGGGATGAAGAAAATGTCTGCGTTTTGCATGACAATCGGAAAAACCGTCGGCGTGGGGGGGAGTCTCTCAGGATGATGACGTGTTTATTCAGGAAATCGTTATCCCACATTCCAGGTCTGTAACCTGATGTTGGTTCAGGCTTGTCCTCGGATCGGTTCCGCGGCTTCTGCACTACGCAGAGCTTGCCAGTTCCGAGCCGACGGAACGTGGCGGTCGTCGGGACTCGGAATGGGGTTCGCGCAGCGATTGTCTGGAGATCAATGTGGCAGGTCGCAGTAAAGCCGCAGCAACTCCAAATAAAGTTGCAGATTGTGTGCTGAAGAAGCGCGACCTAATGCTGGGGCCCTTTTCGCGCTATCAAGAGCCGATAAGCATTCCTCGGTCTCTTCGGTTCTTCGGTTTCGGTTAAGAGTCCCCTGGACAAGCAAGCGATTGAATCGGCGCGCAGCGTCACGTTGGGGGCGAACAGTAAACGACAACGTATCCGTAATTTGTACGGAGTGCAGAGGACAGCGACGATGCGTGGACACGATGTGATAGATTAATTGCATATGGGAGCTCCATGTGCATCGTAACGGAAGCCAAGGGAGTTTAGATCACCATGCTCATCCCAATTGGCTGACGATGATCAATCACATTGCGAGAGGTGTGTGCATACTAAAAAAGTACGGAGGTGCGTCTCAATAGTCCTTGCAGTCGCTGCCAAGCCCCAGACCCACAATTACTGCCCATCTGAACTAATAAGAGCCTAGGGATTGATCTTGACCTACTTTACTTACTTTCCCCCTAATACTGCCCATAGCAACGATTTTACCCTATACACCGCTATTACGATACTATTATTAATCTTACGATAATATCAAAACCGCTAAATCGCTATTTATTACGCTACTCTTTTTTCCTTAATATAGATCCTAAGATACTAATAAAAAAGAAGCTAGATCTAGGCGTTAGGGTAGTAATTCTTGCTCTATAAAGTCGACTTATTAGGTGGATTGCTAAATAGGTCTCTTAAGCTTTAGAAATTCTAATTTAAACTATTTACGACGTTCTTACCTACGTAAAAAAAAACGGATTCGACCTAACTACTCCTACCTTCTCGATTAAGCCTACTTATTATAAAAATGCCCTTTAAAGTGGCCATCTAATTAAATAGATAAAAAAGGTTAATAATACCGTTATCCGTAAGGTCTGCCGCGACCGGTATAGATGTAAAAAGAACTATATTGATATTATTAGGGACCTATTAAGGGATAAGGGTATTAATATATCTATAATAACTGTTTGGCAAATCCTTTATTATTATAGCTTCTATAAGATTAAACTAACTTATAAACTAGGCTTAATAAAAAGGATATGGTAAGAGCGATTTAAATAGTACCTCGATTATTAATACTAGACCCTTAACGATTAGAAGCGGGTTGTATAGTTAAACGAGACTGCGGTTACCCTTAATTACTGCCGTAGTAGCTATAAGCTTTAGCGTCGCTTAGACGAGGCCTATTCTAGGTAGTGTATATAAGAGAGGTAGGAGGGTTATTCTGAATTTATGTTTTAGGGGTCTTTTTTATATAATTTAAAAGGGCCGTGCTATTATTAGATTCCCGAAATTACTATTAAGAGGAAGGCTACCGATATAGTAATTACCGAGCTTAATATAGAGCTCGAGCCTGTTCGACGTTAATAATAGGAGTTCGAGAGTAGTATAAAGCGAATAGGTTTACGGAATTAACCGGGCCGTAAGCCCTAATTTAATTAGAATGCGAAGTTAGGTAAGTTAATATAGAACGGTAAGGGCGGAATTAATTAATATAGATATTGTAAAAAGATCCTATTACCTAAATTATTCCTTTATATTAAAAGATTATTTAATAATCTAATCGTATAAGAGGATAAAGTACCCGCTTACGATTATTATTTTATTTATTATATATATAGCCTTTTTGAGATTATAAAGCTTTTTTAGTTGGGTAATTTGCCCGACCTTAATTTTATTAAACCTTGCTAGCTGTGGATGAAGAGATGGACTATTAGGAAGGGGGTGCCTTTGTTATGGGCCGAAGTAGTACGTCGTTAGTAAGAGTACTGGAAAGTATTACTATAAAAAGAGATCTAAAAATAGATAGAAAGGGTACTTTACTATATTTAATAGATAATTACCCTAGAGGGCGGTAATAAATATAAAGAGGGTCGTCGGGCTAGATTATACTATTAAATAATTATTAATTGACCTTAATTGACGACTTTTTACTACTAAATTAATGATAATTATAGTAGGTGGAAGTGGCCGAATTCTGCCGTTTGTATATACCCTAGCTAGCCCCTTGTCGACTCCCCTGTCTATGGCAGGGGTTGGTCTTGGCAGCAACTGCAAGGACTATTGAGACGCACCTTTGTAGGTTTTTGTCTATCCATAAATTGAGCTATCAGGGGTCTCTCTAAAAAGAATCTCGTTTGCCCTTTTCGGGCGTTCGCTCCAGTAAATCCGGTAAATGGCACATCATCTTGTCAAAAAACAAAAAATTCATCGTCGCAGAAAACTTGCTTGTCACACCAGTTACTGAGTCAGGTACGACAGGTAATCCTTCCACCCTTCTCCTCCTAGACCGACGTAGCCAATGTACATGTCGGGTCTGACGACAACGGTGAAGTCGTCATCGTCCTTCGCCCACTCGGCTGAGAAGGACGTTTCTGGCGATGAAGAATCTTCACTCACTGCAGTCGTACGAGGAGTCTCCGCATTGTGGGGAGCGACGGTGAAGAGTCTGGCCAAGTCCTGGAGACCATCTCCCAGGGCGGGACCATTCGATTGTCGTCCAATCTTCAGCACCAAGTGCTTGCCATACTTGCCAGCGACGAGATCATACAGGCGCTTCGGCTCTTCTCCGGATGCTGGCGTCAGGAAGACATCCGGACAGCGCCGGCCAGCGGTCCAGATGCCCTGGCTGGGGGCCTCTTGGATCAGGGGGGAGCCGGTGCCATCGTAAGACACGCCCATGCCTAAGGTAGTTGGTAAAAAATATTAGCCCAAGATTCTTGCCGCTATGCTTGAACACTGCTAGGTTTCGGGAGCGTGGAGAAACGTGGAGTAGAGGGATTGTCGCATGGGAGGGTGGTCTGGGATTCTGGAAGGACTTCCCGAATCTGCAGTCGTCTCCATGTCCCATCCATGAAGGGGGCCAGACACTCAAACAGAGTTTTGGAGAACAGAAGCGCAGCCCTAACAGGACGCCGAGTCGGGGACTTAGGTCGGAGGGGGGAAGCTAGGAGAATACCGCGCAATAAACATGCAAGACAAGCTTACCTGTGATGTACCCAGCGTTTTTCTCGATTGTGGAGACGTATTCCTTTGCCGTTCGAACAGTGTCTCTGACAAGCTTCGCTGCAACGTCGATGACGCCCTGGGCAACGGTGCGCCGCTCGATGTCGTAGCTCCTGATCAGCTTATCAGCCGCGCCAGGGCTGAGCTTGTCGTTTGTGATGGCTTGCGCCAGCCTCCATGATAGCGCAAACGAGTCGGCAATACCGGTGTTGAGGCCTTGGCCACCGTTCACCGAGTGAACGTGCGCTGCGTCACCTGCTAGGATGATGCGGCCGCCTCCGTTCTGGGAGACAAACGTCGATGCAATGCGCTCCTTGACTGCATGCAGTGTCAGCTATCTTCATGTAACAGCATTTGGATGACACGCTGCCGTGGCGGGCGGGCTATGCCGCCGGCTCGCAGCATCAATGATCAGGGTGCTGCTTACCATCAAATGTGCTGAACCACTCCGTCTTCTTGAAGTCCACTCGGTGAGGGGCCATGTGCTCGCGGATCGAGTTCTCGGCCTTCTCCTGCGTGATCTCGCCGTCAAGCAGGATGTAGAATCTGGCCATGCCACGCTCTCTGGGGATCCATGAGACTCGGCTCTGGCCATTAAGCTGAAACGTAATGATCTCGGAGCACACAGGGAACGTCGTATCAATGAAGGTGTCCAAAACGGCCCAGATCATCTCGGGCTTGGTCCCGGTGAATGTGATTCCCAGCGAGTTGCGGACTGTGGAGCGAGCGCCATCGGCTCCCACCGCATACTTGCTGCGGATCACTCGCCCCTTGTCCGTTGTCGTCACCACGCCGTTCTTATCCTCTGAGATGGAAGTGACGACTTCGCCGAAGCAGACGGGCGTTTTGAGTCTCTCTGCGAGGACCTTCTCGACGGCCGGCTGGCCGATCATCAGGAAGTTCTTGCGGAAGCAGTGCTCAAGACCAGTCCACCATTGGCTCTGGCGCGACTTGAACTCACCTTCCGCAAAGGTTGAGCTCGCTGCAATATGCTTTAGTTTTTGCGTTCTCATCAACTTAGGAAGGCGATTTAGAGCTTACTATTGCAGGTGATGCCTTGCACGATAAGTTCGTCAAGGATGCCAACGACTTCAAGAGCCTGTTGGGTGCGGGCGTTGAGCGCATCGGCTCTGCCCAGATCGAGCGGTGCGTTCTTGCTGTCTATTTTTTTTCGCCTGTCAATAATGATATTCAACTTGAAGACTTTTCGCCAACTTACCAATAATGCATACCTTCACACCAAGCTGCTCTGCGAGGTAGCCGGTGAGAAGACCAGTCGGCCCGCCTGCGCTCTTGAGTCAGAATTACTGTTTACTCATCCGGGCAAGTCGGCAGGAATACTCACCACCGATGATGGCCAAATCGACCTCGGTCTCAAGTGTCTCGCGAGGAATAGAGCCCATGGTTGCTGAGTTAGGGTTACTTGCGCGTGGCGTCAGAGGAGGTGGTGAGAATGAATGACAATGAAGTTGAAAGTTGGTACAGAGATGATGGTCGCAAGGGTTGAGCTCCGTGTAAGTCGTCAATGTCCAAGATAAGTATAGTTATTGGTAGGATTGCCCGAGTACGATGGGGTCGGAAGAAAAAAAAATCTGAGATGCAGGTCGAACGACTACCGATTACTAAATCGATCCGATCAGGGGCGAGAGTATTGTCGTACGCGGAACCAGCAGATGTTGTTCGATGGGTGGCTTACTTGATATCTGACATCAACGAACCAAGGCCAGATCCGGGACTACTTACGGTCGACGGCCGAAGGGTGCGCCGTGCCTTGAGCCGAGCCCCCTCCGGTGTGACCGATGCTCGAAGCAATACCGCGGATAATCGTCTGATATCGGAGCGCGCCGTGGTAGTTCCTGACATGGAAATCGAATGCTGCGCATCGACCACACACGACTATGGATGTACTCCGCAAAGAGCAATCGACCTTACAAACCTGTATGTTGTTCCGACGATCTTAATGTGACATGCCACGACATGCCAATGTTGTAATGCAGCTGCAATCCCGGCTTTCTGGCTAGACCTGCCCAAGGAAGGAATCAGCGCCGTGGTCCTCACAATCTTTCGCCATGCCACCCCGGACATCGTGTCCCGGTCCAGAAAGCCGATCGGGAAAGGCGCGTTTTTGTCTACTCGGGGCTCCCCTGTCCCCACAGCCGCGGGAGGATCCTGCCGGTGCGGAATCTGGCCCCCTACTAGTCAGGCTTTGCGACTATGTTCAACGGTTCAGCCAATCCATCTGCCGCGGCTTAACCTGGGATGAACCAGACTGTCAAGAGACTAGCCTGACGTTGGTGGCTCGATTCTTTGTCTGTTTTCGCTCAAGTGGTTCCCTTCCCACACTGGTACGCCTCTCAGAGGATCCAAACCAGGATCTATCCACCTTCCCTTGACGACTCCCGCGCGGCTGCAACTTAGATCTTGCACTGGCCAGTGGCCACACACTTGATTTCTCTTTTGAGTCCTCAGCCGGCTATGCCAGGCAGGTGTCCACCGTGACGTGGGTCGTTAGCTGTCAGCCCTTCAAACTTGGTCCATGTCCCGATGGAGCGCATGAGTTTCCTGATCCTGATGGGGCCGTTCCTGGGTGGTGGGGTGGCGGCACTGACTCGATCGACGATGGAAGCCGGATGAAGGTTAGGAAAAACAATCAAGAGTGAAGAGGGAGAAAAAAGAAAAGAAGGCCATGCATGGTATGACAGCCACTGACAGGGCTGGGATGCCGGGTGCATTTTGATTCCGTGGGCAATCCTTACCATCTTACCATTCTTCTAGACGTTTTGCTATTGACCCCTAGTGGCGACATTGAGTATCGAACAACCACGGGAATTGTGGATGAACAGCACCGGAATAAGACCGTTATGGGCCTTGATATGGGGGATGGCCAGATGTGACCTGACGCAGCTCCGAGCCCATCACGGCCAGTGCCGCGACTTGGCCCGCTGCTCCTTGCCATGACCCTTTCCCTGTGATCGTCATCTCCGAGCAAGTCTGTATGCAGATGCAACGTTGGCAGACCATGCCGCGAAAGGAAGCTGGATATAAGCCGGTTGCGTCTCCCGAGACTTTGGAAAGTTCTCCTCTACTAGACCAGGCTCAAATTGCATTAAGACCCAGCTGCATCTGCCAGCCTTAAACTTACTTCGATCGTCGTTTATCTTGTTATTCAAGCTTCCCTTACCCTTACCCTTACCCTCCGTACTCTCTCAGCCCCCTAGCCTCTACTTCGGCCATAGTCAACGACATGCCTTCTCTTGTAGAGACACCGGTTCGCCAACCGTCACCAGAGGTCCAGCTCATCTCAAAGGTGGCACCTCAGATGATGGACGATGAAGCCCTCTCAAAAGCTGCCGACATTCTGGATATCATCTGCCGCTACCGCCTTAGACGCCCACACGAAACATGCCCTGCCCAGCTTGAGGGCAGACTGGGTTTCCTCTCCCAGATCTACAGAAAAGTCAAGACACAGAGCCCGATCCGCATGTGCCTTCCCGCTTTCCCTTTCAAGTCGCCCAACACAAAAGACAAGGTCCTCAGCCGTCTGCCGGATAAGGCCGAGGAGTTCTCTCTCGCAAACCTCAACGGTCTTTGCTCTGCAATCAAGGATATCTACGAGCCTGGCGCGAAGTTGACCATCATCTCTGACGGTCTTGTGTACAACGATCTCCTCGGCGTTGCCGACAAGGAGGTCTGGTCATATGGAGAGACTTTGCGCGGTATCGCTGCCGAGAAGAACCTGCTCAACATCGACTTCTCGCGCCTTCAGGACCTCGTTCACCTTCCTAACCTCCCTAACAAGCTCGAGGAGATCACATATGTTGCGAACGCCACCAACTTCCGCCGCGCCCTTCTCAACACCTTTGGTCGATCTGAATACGACCCTTCCACCGAGATCTCCAAGAACGAGGATACTTGCCTGACATATCGCGGGTATATCAAGTTCCTCGAGACCGATCTGCGCCATGTCTATCCCGTTGGAGAGGACCGATCCAAGACTAAGTTCAAGACTGGCATCGAGTACATTTCCAAGCAGATGCTACAGCGTGGTGATGTAAGTTGCAACACGAGTCAACCGTCCTTTTCGAATACTGACATTCCAATTATAGGCCTTCGCTCGCGCTGTTCGTGAGAACTTCCGCGACCACATCCGCCTGTCCATCCACCCCTCCACCGGCGAAAACAAGATCTCCATCAGCCCTCTTCCCACCTCTTCCTACTACACGACCCCCTGGCACTGCTCGATCGCCTTCGATCTGAGCGGCGCGATCACGACCGGCCCCCGTGCCGACTTCGAGAACGACCCTAAGTATGAACTCGTCTACGAGGACGGCAGACCTAGCTACTTCCGCGAGAAGAGCGAACTGATGCAATGGAAGTCGGACGTTGTCTTCGAGCCCATGTACCCCTGCGGTCTTCTCATCCGCCCGGCCCCCGGCTCCAAGAAGCTTTCCATCCACGACGTCGAGGCGCAAAAGGTCCGCGCTCTGTCCGAGGTCAACTCCCCCGTTGTCATGAGGGGGTTCACAAAGACCAAGGATCGCGACCTGTTCGTCAAGAAGTCAGAGGAGTTCGGCACTCCCTTGCCGTGGAAGTTTGGTCTCGTCCTGGAGGTGAAGGACCAGGGTGCCGATACCCGTGGTCTGAACAACGTTCTGTCAGCCGAGTGGATGCCATTCCACTTCGATGGGCTGTTCAAGACCCACAAAGTGCCCCAGGCGGACGGAACTGAGAAGCTTCTTCCCAACCCTCCCAAGTAAGTTACATCCCCGCTGTGGCGAACCTGTCAAGCGAAACCTTCATGAGCTTCTTTTTCTAACATACCGAAAACAGGTTCCAGTTTTTCACCTCCATCACCCCCTCACCGAGTGACACGGGCTTCACCCTCTTCACGCCCTCCAGACTCCTCTTCCAGAACCTGCCTCCTCACCTGTCTGTGGACAAGCTTAAGGAGCTCACCTGGAGCGTCCAGACCAGCTCCTTCGACTCTACCAAGATGGGCGGCCTCCCTCTTGTCGTCGACCACCCCACTACCGGAGAGCCTTGCATCCGATACCACGAGCCTTGGCCCCAGTCCAAGACTGCCTTTGACGCCACCGACGTGGTCATTGAGGGCGTGAGCGAGAGCGAGAGCACTGAGATCTGCAACATCATTGACTCGCTCCTCCACGACAGAAGAAACACCCTCTACTTCTCTTGGCAGCAGGGTGATCTGCTGGTCAGCGACAACATCTTGGCCATGCACACTCGCAGTGACTTCACGGCTGGCTCTCCCAGAGAGATGTGGCGCATCCACTTTGATTAAGGAATGAATCATTTGATCTTGGGTCTGTTTTGATATGCAAGGAAAAGTTTGGAAAATTGGCATTAGTGGTGTTAGTTTAGGATTCCCTCTCTGTTCTGATTAAGCTCGGCATAGATACATTTTTAGTCTGAAGCGATTGTATCAATTTTTATTCATGAATTATAACACGGGTCTCAAGTGTAAATGACAGCGTGCGATGACTTGAAACGTCGCTTCTGAACTAGGCACATCCCATCGCCGTATAATCCTTCGTGGGGCCGTTGTGGTTTCATGCTTTCACAAGATTTGAAGTTACATTAGAACATAGTCACGATTAGTGATCATAAGAGTCAAGACGTCAATCGGAATTCAAGAGTCATTGATACTCATGTAAATTCACCCTGAAGTATGGGAGTATCTAGATCTGGACACTCCTAAAATCCGGCGATTCTCAATCCACCTCATAATGAGACGCTGGGATCTGGATTCTATGGGGCGAGCTATGCTACTAAGAAGTCAGTAAAGCACGATTGCCGTATGTTTAGAGCATGATTACAACAGGACGAAGTCGGAACCAGGTTGCACCATATTAGCGGCCAGGGAATCAATGGATATGATTGTTATGTTAATTCCGGCAAGCCGATCACACCACCCAGCAGACGCTCAATAGACGCTGTGCCACACAACACGGCATGTGGGCGTTGCATAGTATACTGGGCAATACTAGAGAACCCTGAAGACAATTCGGAAGTTTTAGGAAGACGCGCCCTCTTCTGGTGAAACATGTCGGTTCATGGGTAAGATGCATCATTGTGGGTAGTCGAAGAGACCATAACCCACCGCGGATGTATTGCTACTAGTCTATTTCATCTGTGGATCCGTTGTTGGCCAGACTGTTTTCTAGTCTAGATATTCAGTCCCTTCAAGTCTAGACTCAATAAATTTCATCGAGTCCATTTTTTGTAAGCTCGAATAGAATGCCGGTTAAGTCTAAGAGTGCGTAAGCATGTGTAAGGTTCAGAGATTCAGCCGCCCAACGAGATAGTGTCGGGAACGGGCTGCAGATCGCTGTCCGAAGCCAAGACACTAGGTTGCCGGAACCCCGGCCGCGGCAAAAGTTTTTATCGACTCCGGGGCCACAAGATGCTTGCAGGTTGTGAGGTTGATAAGGTACAATGCTGCATGCAATGTGACGAGCTGAGATTTAGAGAAGTCGTTGGAGCCAGGGGATTGCCACAAGCAGCACAACCAACACGCGTTGCGCACCCCTGAGCAAACATTGGTCAAGGAACAGGTACGTTTTTGGATCTGTGGTACGGATACGGAGGGCAGAGACGGATAGGTCACGGATTTGTTTTGTTCCTATCTATTGGCGACAGCGGAGAAATGGAGCCCAAGTATTCTCAACACTACACTCCAATTCATCTAAACGCGTCTTCGCGGCATAGTCTTGATCAGCAGAGGTTCGGCTACTGCAGCTGAAACCCACTCCTTTCTCTTAGGAAGTTGCACCGACTGCCAGTCTGCATTAGTCAGTCCAGTAACCTGCGCGGATCTGGGGTGTCCATCGGCAGGGGTGAGTTCAAAGTTTGCAACCAACTTTGCGACAGTAATGTAAAGTTCCAGGTAAGAAAAGCTGAGTTCGCTTGTTAGTGACCATGTACCCACATATTTGAGGCTAAATCACTGACTGGTTTGCAATACAAGTATTTGCACCTTTCGAAAAAGGAATGTAAAACCTGTCTCGTAATACATCTTCCGTAGTGTTTGAGCCAGAATCGTCTATCCAGCGGTAGGGGTTGAACAGCTCCGGATTCGGGTACGCGTACTTGTCTCGAAGATACCAGACTGGTGATGAAGTTATGATGGTCTAAGAGACCTAGGCTTAGAAATACTCAATCGCTTTTCGGGTCATACTGATGACTTACGCCTTCGGGAATAAACTTTCCGCAGAGCTCAACGCCACCTTGGGGAACCACACGCGGCAACATCGCGACGGATGCACCAGCCCAACGAATACCTTCTTTGACACAAGCTCTCAAACGTGGGATATTTTCTAGAGTATTGAAATCTGTGGGGAACCTGCGACATGCCAGGTCTTGATACAATTTCTCCTGATATGTCGGGTTCCATGAAAGAGCATAAAGAATGTGCGCGAGTGATGCAGAAGTGGTGTCGGTTCCAGGTCCGAGGTTCTCTTTGGCTTCTGAAAGGGCTGTTTGCGTTGGTACACCGGCTGACACCATGACGTTGAGGAGGTTGGGAAACTGCGACTTTCGGGCTGGATCTTTGTTTCTGACCCAAGCTTTGTACGTCCACTTGATGAGTTAGCCTGTCGACTCGCTTCAGAGAAGGCGTACGTACCTCATTGTATTGCTGAAGCCCTTTTATGGAGGATATTCGCGATCCCTCCATGTGACAAAGGAAATTCTCAACTCGCATCCAGATGGAATGTAAGACCGGGAAGTTCATGATCTAGATGATCAGCTTTTCGTCAACTTGAGGAGTTTATAGCATTCACCAGAGGCAGAAATGTCGCTTTCTCGTCGTTCTTTGCAACAAATGCAATTTCGTCCCCCTTTGACCAGGCAGAGACGGCCGACAATGCTTCGCCGAATGAAAATTCCGCTTTGGAAATTAGCCGGCGAACATAGGGCCGAGTCAACCATGGCGTCTCACATATGATATCTGCCTCAAGGGCGCGACAGGCAGGACCTATATCGAAAGAAACTTTTCTTTTTCCGACTGCCGAGATGAAATCGTGAACGTGATGAAGCATCAGTCCCTCGAGCTTTTCAATGTTGCTGCGGCTGAAGAGTTGGCCAAGGATCCTTCGCCTTTTGGCATGCTCTTGGGGATCTCTGCGAGGTGTCAGGAAACGAAAGCTGCGTATATCTCTGGAGAGTTGCAACAGACGTAATGGAGAAGAGTGCGGGATGTTCATCTTGGACGAATTCACCATAATTTCGGGGATCCTTCACAAATCCGCTGTTGACCTTGTGGACTGTGTCGTAAATATCGATAGAGTAGAACGATAGTTCATTGGGACCAATTCGAACAAGAGGACCTAGGAAGATGGTAGGATTAGATACCGCCCATAGTAATAATAGTGCAATTGAGGTGGTCGAGAGAGCTACCCAATGTCTCGTGCAACTTTGGGAGTTCGAGAGTGACATTGCCTCGGTATTCCTGACGGAAGGCCCAAATCAACCTCGAATAGCCTGCTCCCCACCCAGCATTCGGTATATTAAACAATGGGGATGCGTGAGCTCGAGTCACGGCCTGGAGAGTGTCAGAATAGTCTCATCGAACTCTTCAAGATGATAGCTACCTTGAACACTGTCACCACTATTAGACATAGAGCAGCCAGCGAAGTCAGGGCGAGGATAGCCATCTTGGCACAGAGACTTCAGAAAACTAAGAGAGTCACGGAGTCACAAGAAATCGGCGCCAAAGAAGTTCGCCCGATTTTCTAAGGTACATATTTACAGTGAGTTCTAGACTCAAAGCATCTAGAATATCCAAGGTCTACTCAAGACTGATCATGTCCCACGTTCCAGTGCATCGCGTTCTTTGAGTGCCGATTGCGTGATAGACCTCATGCCCAAAACCTATTGAACCATCCCCCAACTGGCAATCAACCCGGGGGTGCTTACGTTGACCTGATTGGCAGGGGACACGCAGGGCGCGGCGACATCCCAATAGCATACCAACCCCCGAAAAGAAGAAGAGACGTACGGCGAGGATGTCATGAATGAGATACCATCATCACCATGGGTGGTAAAGATCAATTCCGTCAATCCCGTAGCGCGTAGGCGGTTATTTGCGTGTCTCGATGTTTGTTAGAACCGCCTTGATGTGACTTACTCAGCGCCCCCTTCAATGTCGTAGTGCTGTAGATTGTACCATAGAGGGCATGGAAGTCAAGAAATTGGTTACAAAGTCATGAAGAAGCACACATCATACACATGAAGTAGCGAGCATTAATCTGTATGTTGACTTGTCAAAAGACTCATCTCGTTTCGTGTCACGAACTTGCTGCTAAGGCTCTTTCGTACGACCTACCGATGCCGTCATCCAGTCCCACATCACGCGACTAAATAAGTCAGCCATTGGCACATGCAGCAGTCGTTGGAAGATTTGTTTTTCTTCACGCGCAAAAGCCGAACATATCCGTCCCACTAATTAGATTTTTCAACGGCCCCTGGGCGGCCCGAATGCTCCATCTCCCATAAGACGACGTCCTCTCCACCCGCATTTGTTCGCTCCGACGTCGCTCATTCGCTCAGCTTGGACCAACATCGAGGACATCATCAATATGGCTGCAATGACAGAGCGCCAAGAGGAAGGCGTCGCCAAGGACGCAAATACCTTCCAAAGCGACCTAGAAGATGAGTCTACAAAAGATGACCGGGTGCTGGTAAGCATTCTTCAGCATTGATGCACTACATTTCGGCCAGCTGACCTCTGAATCCATAGGAAAACCTAGGCTATAAGCCGGTGAGCAGACGATTCCAAAGTCAGCCCACCTCACACAGATCACTCACTCTTCTAGGTGCTGCACCGGACATTCAACACGTTTCATAACTTTGCGACAACCTTCGGTATGCTGGTTACGTTCATTCTGCTGATTGTCTGTGTTGTTTCTGACTTCATTCAGCTGCTCTCTACTTCATTGGTGGAGTTCGAGTGACATTCTCTACTGGCATTGCTGCTGGAGGTAACCTGGCCTACTGGTATGTCCTTGTAACGGTACTTCCATACATGTTTTCGCAACGCCTAATATCCAGCTAGGACAAGTTTCATCGTGACTTGCGTGTTCACTTTTATCACCGCCGCGGTCATTGCAGAAATCTGCTCTTCTCTTCCACTCGCGGGATCTATTTACCTGTGGGCTGCTGAAGCTGGCGGACCCCGATTTGGCAGGTTCTTCGGCTTCATCGTTGCATGGTGGAGTACCACGGCATGGACGACTTTCTGTGCAAGTAAGTTGGCAATCATTCCTAGGGCTTCATGCACATGGATGAAGCTGAGTCGCTGACCCCTCTCAGGCAACACACAAGCCGCTGTTAACTACATGCTTTCGGTAAGGAATTGCGTAAGAAATCGATCTTCTCGTGACAGTCTCTGATTTTGCAACAGGAGATTGTTGTATTCAACCTCGACTTCCCTTCCGATTCCTCAAGCGTCAAATTCCGGGCTGTCCAATGGATCACTACAGAGATCATGTTGGCCTTGGCTGCCATTTGGAATCTGTTGCCTCGTGAGTCACTCCCACATGACTGCAGTGACACGCTAACAGAAGTCCAGCCCGCTACTTCAAATGGATTTTCTACCTGTCAACCGGGTTTGTCTTGTTGGATTTTGTTCTGAACATGATCTGGCTGCCAGTCGCAACAAGCAAGAGTGAGTATGGCTTCCGATCTGCTCATGATGCTTTCATGACCACCTACAATGGGACCGGCGCTCCGGCAGGTTGGAACTGGTGTCTCTCGTATCTTGCTACTGCCGGTATCCTCATCGGATTCGACGCGTCGGGTCACGTTGCGGAGGAGACCAAGAACGCAAATGTCGCTGCCGCTCGCGGTATCTTTTGGAGTACTGTTGTCAGTGGGATTGGTGGCTTCATTGTCGTAATCCTATTCCTATTCTGCGTTGTAAGTCGATGCCCCCCTTTCAAATGCAATGTAGAAGCCGGACTAAATAGATTGTAACCAAGCCTGATGCGGACACTCTTTTCTCATTCGGCGGCGCTCAGCCTTTTGTGCCATTGTACGCAGCCATTCTCGGAGAGGGAGGGCACATTTTCATGAACATTGTTTGCATTGTGGCTTTGTGGTTTGTAAGTCATCTTTACCGCCTCAATCTCAGCTTGTGCGCGTGTGTATCGAGTGCTTACTCAACCTCTAGAACACTGCGATTGCGATTTTGGCTGCATCGCGCCTGGTCTTCGCCGTAGCACGCGACGGAGTTCTCCCCTGGTCCCCGTGGGTTGCCAAAGTCGTCGATGGCCAACCCAGAAACGCCGTCTTAGTAGTCTGGGGCGTGGCCTCTGTCATCACCTGCACGATTCTTCCGTCTTCAGTCGCCTTCACCTCCCTCGTCTCGGCAGCGGGTGTGCCTTCGGCCGCTGCTTATGGTCTGATCTGTCTTTGCCGATTGTTCCTGACCCCAAAGCAATTTCCGAAACCCGCGTGGAGCCTTGGACGCCTCAGTAAGCCTTTTCAAGCGATCGCCGTCTTGTGGAACGGCTGGGTCGTTGCTGTGCTGTTCTCACCTTATGCCTTCCCGGTTGAGGCATCGACGCTCAATTATGCCCCCGTTATCATGGGCATTGTCACAATCTTCGCCATACTTTCTTGGTGGTTCATCCCTGCAGAAAGATGGCTGCCATCTCAAAGAATCCAGGAGACGTTGCTTGCGGGAGAACGACCGATTGAAGAGTAGGCGGAATTCGGTACCCGAGAGAAAATCGGCAAGCACTTCCTTCCCGGATAATAATCATTCAATAGAAACCTCTAATTAGCTAGATATGCATTATAATCAAAGAAAATATGGACGGTGTGGTCGTCGATAAATACATTTTTGCTCTACTCGCTAACAAAGCTTGACTCCTGAGCCTCATGCTCAAAGCTGCGCCCTCGTTTCACCGGATGGTTCCGTCGTCAACTCCCTCTTTCCTCTCTCCAACTCATCAGTCAAGTCGTAGTTCCAAATCCACTGCATTCGCTTAGACAGATTGTTGGCAACCCACTCAGAGTCCTCGCTTAGCTCTAGATCGTACAGCTGACCTGTCTCGTGGCTGTCGACGACGAGTTGCTGAGACCTCTCCCTCCGCGTCTTGTCGTACGTTGAGAATGCTGCCTCAAGTTGGCTGGCATCAGAGATGGATCCCAAGAGGTTGCCGAGGATATAAGCATCTTCAATCGCCATGCCCGCGCCAGATCCCTTGTGAGGCGTGGATGCGTGAGCCGCGTCTCCCAGCAGGCAAAGACGTCCCTCGTAGTATGTTGGACTGGGCGGGTGCTCGAATAGTGCCCACACGTCGGGCTTCTGCATAAGCTGGATGATTTGCCTGGACTTCTCGCCCCAGCCCTCGAAGTCGCGGATCATGTCCTCCTTATCCACGGAGACAACCCACTTGTCTGACTTCCACTCATCGGCACTGGCAAAAGCCACCACTAGACTCCTGATTAGCCATCGTTGGTAGACTGAAAATTGCAGATCGGGATTCTTACCATTCATAATCTTGCCCTTTGCGACAGAGAATGTCAAAATGTGGCCGTTTCTGCCAAAGTACATCTGAGCGTTCTTTGCCAGTTCTTCACCCAGAAGCTTCTCTGCCTCCTCCATAGGAATGAGCCCTCGATAGGCATACTTTCCAGAGAAGACAGCCTTGGATGCCGGGTGATCCTCGCCAAGCATCAAACTCCTTAATATGGACTTGATACCGTCACAGGCAATAACAGCGTCGTGGCGAGCGGTTGTACCATCATGAAAAGTGAGCAGCACGCTTTTGCCGTCATCTTCGTACTTTTCTGCCCTCTTGCCGAATACGGCAACTCCGTCGGGCAGTAATTTGACCAGCTCGTCCAAGAAGTGTGCTCTGTGAATACCAGTCTGGCCGGTCTCGCACTTTTGCCGATAAATGAGGTCGCCCTCTTTGTTCTTATCATTACAAGTCTGGCCGTACCTGAAATCGAACCAAACGTCCTGGTGGTCTTCTGATTCGTTGTGTGTTGCCTGGTTCTCGAAGGCTTGCCGCACGTGGGGTGAGATCAAGGACATGGCCCTCAGCGCATTGGGGCCGAAAGACACGCCTGCACCGATCTCGCCGAACTTGGGCGCCTGTTCATATAGTGTCGTCGGTATCCTGTTCTGAAGGAGTTGAAGGGCCAGGGTCAGACCTGCGATACCACCACCCACAACAGCCACATTGAAGGGCTTGTTTGGCGCCTGGCAAAACTCTTCTGGTGGTGCCATCTCGATCGAGGCAGAAAACTGCTGATGAAAACGAAGGTCAAAGTTTAAATGTGGTATTCTAGATGGTGGGCAGTTCAGACTAGGTGAAACGACCTCGTGTAGCTTTGCGAAACAGATCTCTTTCTTTAGTCTGAGGACTTGCACGTAGATCACAACGACGAAGAAATACGCAAAGATATATCGCTGGCACTAGTAAATAAGGGCCGAGAAAGCAGGCAATTTACCAAGGCTAACTGCTCCTTACTTCCTAGGCCGGCTACTCGGCTGGGACCTATGACGCTCTCGATGATTCTGGCTGACCCCGTTCCCCCCGGACCCCGGCCGCGACCCACGTTGCGCCAGTGCCGAAGTGCCCGAACGACCACGGAAGCACTGCATTGGTGACCCATCGGATGGGAAACTTCACTCGGCTGAAAGTCCTCAGCAGCTTGATGTTCCTCCATAGCACGGGTGTAGCCTATCGGATCGCGGGCTTTAGACATCGGGAATGGGGCCTCAAACGATGGACCAGGTGCCGAAGGCCAGCTTCGGGTGACGGCGCAAGCGTGCCACACGTGCATTGACTGCGGAGTATCATCTCGGCACTGGAGGGGGGGAAACGAGGGGAACTCCTTTGCTACTGTAGATCGCATATCTGACTATCCTTCAATAATGTGAGTCTCCGAAACTTAAAGTCGTTGTTGTGCAGTCTAGATCCTTTCACTGGGGGCTGGATGCTCGTAGCCATTGAGGACTAACACCGTCGACCCCAGGCGCCACAGCTGCCAACGCGTTTTAGTGTCCAAAATAGTACCAAATAGCAAGGTCATGCTGCCTCTACCCCGGACTCCGGTCCGAAGTCATCATGCCGTTGGTCTGGGGTAATTTGCTTCTGGTCCCTGGATCTCATCTCGCAGAGTTGAGATCCTCCCCGTGGGGAAAGGAGTTTAAAAATGGTGCAAAGGGTCCCACTGCTTCTGTCAAGCGACGAAGACAGTTCACACCAACCTACCACTCGACGCTAGGAAAACATCAGACGTTCTCACGATAAAAAATGACTGCTACCAAGCCCACCTTCATCTTCGTGCCCGGCGCGTGGCACTGTGCAACCAAATTCGAGCCAGTGACTTCGAAGCTCGAGGCTCTCGGGTATCCCACTAAGTCTGTGCAGCTCCCGTGCTTCGGTGCGGAGCCTCCGCTGTCAGATTTCCAGCCCGATGTCGCGGCCATTCGGCAAGAGATTGAGAAGAGTGTAGATGCTGGTGAGGATGTCGTCCTCTTCATGCACAGTTATGGAGGTATTGTGGGCTGCGAAGCTTGCCGCGGTCTTGGCAAGGCAGCTCGGGAGAAGGAAGGCAAGACTGGCGGCGTTGTAAGACTGGTATTCTGCGCGGCCTTCATGGTTCCAGAGGGTGAGTTTATGGCCAACAGAAGTTGACAAAGCCTGTGTCACTAACAAAGCACCTCAAGGAGTCTCACTATTCGATATGCTTCAAGGAAATCCGCTTCCTTGGTTCATCGTGTCCGACGACAAGACAAAGGTCGACCCCGCTCGTCCAGAGGAGATCTTCTACAACGACATGGACGAAGCCGCCATTAAGGAGGCGATCGCAGGACTCAAGCACCACAGCTACCAGACGTTCTACAGCAAGCTCACATATCCTGCGTACAAGGATATACCAGTGACCTATATCAAGTGCGAACTCGATAACGCGATTCCTCATCAAGGCCAACAGCAGATGATTGATACCTCTGGTGTGGATGTGACCGTTGAGACTATGCAGGCTAGTCACTCTCCGTTTTTGAGCAAGCCGGACGAGGTTATTGCTGCTTGTAGGAGATCGGCAGGCGAGAGCTTCTGAGGTGACACGGGGAGGGGGGTCATCAGGTGTCGTAGATACGCCATGCAAGTAATATGCAGGGTCTCAAGCTTGGGCCGCAGTACATCGCAGGACGGAAGCTCGGCTCAGATATTTGAGGGATCTTGATCTAATCAATTTAAACAAGCATTGTTACCCATTAAGTTCCGTTTTCACGAGCGCTGTATGGTTGTGTTTCATGCCCGTTGGGTTTGATGTTTGATACTGCTTGAGCGATATAGCTCGGGTAATCCATCATTACAGGCACATCCCATCCTTATGATAGTAGACAGATCTTTGTGGTTCATCGCTTGGTATTCTTGGTCATTCAGTCGCTAATAATTCGTAGAAGTCTACTTCCAGACACGTGCTATTCCTCCGTGACTAACACGGTGGTTCCATTAATGCCCCTGTATCAGCAAGCAACATCTCATCCGTGTAACCCAAGTGAGCCATGCTCGCATCCATAGTCGGGAAGAAAGGCATATCTTGCCCATAAGAATCAAATAATAGCGTTCTCGGCGACATTGGGAGCAGAATGTCAGTCGACGGAGTCAGTGCCTGGATCACGTTTGTTCCTCGACCAGCCTCGCTACCCAATATCTGCGGCCCATCAGTGCTCCCCGTCGTCAGTGAGACGCTCTGGTCGAGGCTGTTGATCTCCCCGGCTTCTGATGTACTCAAATGTCGATGGTTGCCAAAATAGCGAATATCTCGGTGCATGGCATTTGAGCCGAGCTTAGATGCTTCCGTTGACAGTGGTCCGCCTTCGTGGACGCTTCCGAAGAGCTCGCCTATCAGCATACCCTGGCACTCCATCTTCCGACGCGCCCTCCGCTCTCGGTACAGGACACAAGCACTCTGGAGATGTTCGACGATGGCGAGCTCTCTGCTGGCAACAGGATCATGCTTGCTGAACTTCTTCAACAGCGCTTGCGCGTCGTTTAAGCCGTGATCTAACGGAAATGTGCTGTCCAGGTCGCCAAATACGGCAAGACCAAGGACTAAGGCGGAGACGAATACGGAGTTGATGACAAAGGGGTGTCGTTTGGCAACGTTTTTGTCCGGTATTAGAGTTGATAGAAGGTCGATTGTCCGTATCGCAGAGTCCACGCAAGCATGGACCAAGAGTTGGTCAGATGGCGATGATAAAGGCGTTTCTTCGGACCACATCGATGTCGCCCGAGAGCGGGCAATGTTTCTCGAAACAAAGTCGATGAGGAAAGGCCGCGATAATAGCATGATGCTCCAGTAGTATGCTTCTTTCATATGATAGAGTCCAATATTTGGATATTTCTCACCATCATCAGCGTCAACATACTTGCTGGGTTTCATTCCGTCAGCTGCGAGACCGTCACTGAACCTCGCGGCCCATCGACGGTGCTGTTCGCTGATACGCTCCAGCGTTTCTGTAGATACCATGCGCTTGGCGTAGACATCGTTCAGGATTGACTCGAAGATGGCGCAGAGGTCTAGTGAAGCAGAGTAGTTCTCGCTCGCTGATGTGTCTCGGGTCTCGGATGTCGCCAATGGTCGACCTAGGGAGGCAGCCAGGAACAGGTCTAGAACCCGGAGGGCCTTCCACAATCGATCCCGGGTGTCTTGCTCTTGTGTCGAGAATAGGGCTGGGACGTCTCGCCGGTGAATTCCCAGCGCATAGGCAGCCCGGACAGCGACGCCCAGGTGCATAAAGGCTGAGTTGCGCCGCGATGCGCCGAGGAGGTAGACGGTGATGAGTATATAACTGCGCACAGTGTTGTTCGTTGGGTTCTCCATAGCATACGACACTGCTAGGAATCGACCGTAGTTGAAATATTTCTCGGCATCGGCATCCCGATCATCCGGACATCGCTGTGCTCCGATGCCGAATATCAGAAAGAAGATGCAGTTCATGGCCTCTTCATCTTGACTCGTCGGCTCGCCACGCAGCCAGTGTTCGAGGTCCTTGAGTATCTCAGTCTCATTAAACACGTCGAGAATACAGTTTGTTGCACGGAGGTACCACCGCAGCAGATATCTTGCTTGCTCAGTGCTGGGTTTGGAGGGGATATCGGCGGGGTTCGTGATTATCCATTTCGGGCGACCTTCAGGAGTCGCCTCGACCATGATATGGCGCAGGGGGTCATCAGTAAAGGGACACAGGCCGACGCGGTCGCGTACCAGCCGACGTATCACTTTCAAGAAGGCCAGATTGGCGGCATCGCCAATGAACATGAAGCGGCCCTTGCCATCTGCGATGAGTCGCGATACCTGTGGTACCGCAGTGCTCTGTGAGAGGTGGCTGATTGACGACGACGCGCGCCGGTGATGAGGATGATGACTCGGTGAAATGACGGCTTCGTGAAAGGAGGCGGTTGGCCCATAAGAACTGAAGAGATCCTGACCGTGACCGGAAGGGCTCCCTCGGTGAGGAGGAAGAGAAACATGAACCTGCTGGCGATCAGGACTTCTCACGGATGACGAGTCCTCGGTAGCGGCAAAGTTCGTCGGCGGGCCGATGAAGGTGCAGTCGGCTTCGACTCTGCGGATAACGCACCTCCGACAGGGTTGTTGACCATCGCAGCGTTCCTTGCGCCGCTTGCAATTGCCGCAAGCCTTGACGCATCTACGCCGCTCGCTCTGACGGACTCTTTTCGTAGGCATCGTTTGCTCGCCTTCGACGTCCGTCTTAGTGGAGATACGATATGAAAGTAGACAACCTCACACAGCTCTCTCAATTCAACTAGGAACGAGTGCGTGGCAAGATAGGAGACGTTGAACTCCGGGGTTTAGAGAGGGGGGGAGGGGGGGGGGGGGGGGGGGACAGGACTGCGGCGGCGGCCAGCTGAGGCAAAGGATGGTCCGGGGCAGAGCTCTTGGCTTTCCCTTTCTCCTTTGCTTGCGCGCGCTTTCGCTTCTTTTGCGGGGGAACACTTTTCCCAGGGGGGTCCTAGCTCACAAATCTTCCCCAGATTTTGCTGCCCGCTGCGGCGCAGGTCACGAAGGATGCCGAGGTTTTTGGAGCTCCAGAGAGAATTGGGCAACAAGTCAGAAGTCAAGAGTCATCAATCCATGGTGACGTAGCCAATAATGGTCCAGGTCTTACTTCTGCAGTTACTACCATTGGCTGTGGCTGGTTGCTTGAAGAAACTGGTTGCTGGGTTGGATCGTCGACCGCTTGGCTCGGCATCCAACAATGTCCCGCATCCGTCCCGTCAACCCACGCGATATATCCACCGCTTATTACAGAGTCCAGCGGCATCTTGAGCCGTTATTCAATTCATGCCCTTCACTTGAAAGACTCAAAGACGATGCAATTGGTATCCAATGCGGACTTGATCATCGCTTTCACTCTCCACCGCTGCGTTACCACGTCAGCTCTGCAAGGAAGAACCTGCTGGTGACACCGAGAGAGGGCCAGCATAGAGATATGCCAACGAACTTGCTTAGTTACAACTGACCAAAAGCTAACAGCGACTAGCATCAGTGCCACCTTCCGAGGACACCATTCCAATCAAACTGTAATGTCAAACGCACCTATCATCAACCAATGAAGTACCAATAGCTAGTCCCTCACCCGACATGACATCAAACCTAACGAGGCCCTTATCCGACGATCGCTCCAAGACCGAGAGGAAACGGTTCCATTCCATTGTCCCAAGCTTGAGCGCGGCCCCAGAAGGCGCCACCCAGCCCCCCAAGCTAGGCCCGCAGTAGACATGCCCATTTCCGAAGCCATCGGAAGCCGGGTCTATGGTTGTGGCTCCAGAGTTGCTATTGCTGGACACTCCGACAGCACACATGTACCCTTCCGCCCGATTCCCGATGCGGGTCCGACGTTTCGTTGTCCATTGCTGTAACGCAGCTGCTTCCGACCTCGCGAATCGCCGAATCGGATCGGGGAGTTGATCGAGAGGTACGGGAAATGCAGAGCGGATATGGGCAATATGCGCGATCGTAGAGCTGAAAGACGGAAGAAATAATTATCCTTTTTTTTTCTCGCGAGTAACGATTATCGCAAGTCTGAAAGGTACACACAATCAACAGTAGTCCCGACGGGTTAATTACTCTGTGCTCTGTAGTTACTCCCTACTCAAGCCAGCCTCTGTGCGCGCGAGACAACTGCTACTATCGTTCAAACGTCCTTTCCACAGTAGCAAGCAACCATGACAGACTCAGAATACTCATCCGTCGCGGAAACGAAACGAATCTTGGACCTCGTCTTGAGTTCTGTTCAGATACCAGCAGAGGCAGAAAAGATCTCAAAGGATGTGCAGTTTTCGGCGACCCGCGACTTGCCCTATTTCCCGATTCCTTTCAAGGAAACCGAGTTGGCCTCAGCTCTGAAGGCTATCGAAGGTGGTGTAGCAGGGGCCCTTGCAGCCACCAAGGATGGTGTCGCCGCCGGCAAGAAGGTGTCTGTGAGCTTGGAGAAGAGCACCGCGTTCCTGATTCAGGCGTATTTGGCGACTGTTGGAGGGTATGGCAAACTCGATAAAGAAGTGAAGCAATTTTTAAAAGGTGAGTTGTCTTGGTGCATTTCTCGAAAGCAGCCAGCATGAAGTTCTCTGACTTGTGCACTTAGACACGGACTTGCTTCAGGCGCAGTCAGATCCTTATCGCCGCATGTCGGCAAATTTGTACGAGACAAAGCAGCCGGGCGAGTACTACCACATTCATGGATCTCTGGAAGCATCGACAACGCTCGGCATGATCGGCCTCGAGCCGTTTAGGCCAGACCTGAAAGACCACAGTGCTATTGTTGAGGCGATAGAATCTCATGTGAAGCAATTTTCGGTCGTTGAGCTTGAGCGCATGAACGCCGATAAGCGCCAAGCTGGGGTGCCTGTTCTCAAGTATGAGGAATTCATCAAGACGCCCCATGTAAGTCTCACCCATTGATTGACTTTGGGGAAGAACAAAGAAACGCTGCTAATCAACTTACAGGGCAAAACGAATGTTACACTTCCTCCCTGGAGCGTAGACAATCTTGAGACTTCAACACCCCCAGCTCCTCTGCCGTCTACATCTGACAAGCGGGTACTGTCGGGCGTCAAAGTGCTAGAGCTGTGCCGCATCATCGCAGGGCCCGTCGTGGGACGCATCCTCGCAGAGTACGGCGCAGACGTTCTGAAGATCACTAGCCCGAATCTTAGCGATGTTCCATTCTTCCAAGTTGATGGCAATATGGGCAAGCACGCCGCGGATCTCGACCTGAAGACTGAGGAAGGGAGAGAGCACTTTGAGACCCTGCTTGCCGAGGCAGATGTCGTGCTGGACGGCTATCGCCCAGGCGCATTGGAGAAGCTGGGCTACGGCGCGACTGCGTTGACAAAGTTGGCAAAGGAGCGTGGAAAGGGGTTCGTGTATGTGAATGAGAACTGCTTTGGATACCAAGGGGAGTGGTGCCAGCGGCCTGGCTGGCAGCAGATTGCCGATTGTGTAAGTCATCACGCATCTCTTTTTCACACTCACAAATGCTGACCGGGAAATAGGTGAGTGGTGTGGCGTGGGCGCAGGGACAGTTCATGGGACTCGACGAGCCCGTAGTCCCCCCGTTCCCCATTTCCGACTACGGAACGGGATGCATGGGCGCCATTGCCGCTCTCACCGGTCTCTACAACAGAGCGACAAAGGGTGGCTCGTGGCACGGCAAGGCGTCGCTGTTGCAATATGATCTCCTCCTGACCAAGGCCGGGAAATATCCAGAGGAGGTCCAAAAGGAACTACGCAAGCTCGCGGGCGACGATTTCCTTGCGTTGCGGCATAGCCACAGCGTTGATCAGATTTCAGGCACGGCGCTCAAGGCGATGAAAGGGTACGCGCCGGAACTGTTCAGCTCTCCCAGCGTCCGCGAGAAGTGGTACGCAAGGCGCTACAATGCTGATGTCGAGGCTGTGAGCCCGGTAGTTGAGATTGAGGGTGTTGAGATTGGATTCAAGAGGGCGAGCAGGCCGAACGGTTCGGATGAGGCGAGCTGGGACTTTGGTCCGGAGGAGGATCACCGGATAGTTGCGCAGACGAATGGGGTTGCAAAGGCGTGAATTGATGTCAAGATAGAATGAATTTTCATCTAGACCTTTCAATAATGATATCCAGGGATGGGCAAAATTGCATCAGCTTGCCAAGTGAACTCATAGTGCGCTTCTGACTGAGCTTAGCCGTGTGAATTGGACCATGGATCCAAGGCTCAGAGTCCGTGAAGTTGGGCTTCATCTGCGCATCGTGAGCTGATTGAAGCATCCATCTCACTTACACCGTTCACCAAATAACACTGAATGATTCATCTGATGATCATCGTGCCCTCGGGTTAAATCCGCACGGAATTAGGGGCATAGCAAAGTCACATCTCACAACCCCAAGCCGAAGCGATTGATCCTTTCCGCGCGCCTGACTCCGCCAAACCGAAGCCTGGAACCATCAAACTGCGGGGTCCCCAGTGCAATGGGGGTAAGCCGACCGGATCAAGTCCATAATGAGCCCGAATATGGCATGTCCTTTGTTCTATCAGTATGTTTGTGAATCTCGGCAGACAACCCCTCGCGTCGGATCCCTCCCCCGTACCCGAAAAGACAGAGAGGGAGAGAGAGGCGTGTTTCCCGGAGCCGGGGGGGGGGGGGGGGGGGGGGGGCTTCCGGGAGCGTTGGAAGCCCATCGCCGGTGGTACCCGCTCAGCAACAGCGCACGTGCAATTACAAAGCAATGGCGGGTAATGCACACGCTGTGATTGGGAATAAGTATCCTCCATCGAACTGCGGGACGCTTTTGGCAATCGGGGTAGTTGAAGTTAGCTCATATTTCAACATCACGTCGTCTCACCGAGCATTATTATTCACATCGTCAGCATTGATTCCTAGATCACACCAGAAACTCACCATTCATCACACATTCACATCTCATTCATCATGGGCTCATTACAGAACGGAGATGGTCAGTACCAGGGCCTCGGCCAGGACTTCACCAAGCAGGTCATCGCGTCCATGGGATCCGAGACGAACCCCAGACTTCGCGAGATTCTGTCCTCATTCATCCAGCACATCCACGACTTTGCCCGCGAGGTCGATCTCACCACGGATGAGTGGATGATGGGTGTAAACATGATTAACTGGGCGGGCCAAATGTCAAATGACCGACGTAACGAAGGCCAGCTGCTTTGCGATGTTATCGGATTGGAGTCGTGAGTTCTCTCCACGAATTCTGAGACCCAATGCATGTGTTAATGAGTCTCTCAGACTCGTCGACGATATCACCAACAGAGTGGCCACAAAGAACGGCGGTGAGCCAGGCACAGCAACAGCCATCCTCGGCCCCTTCTGGCGGGCTGACACCCCCGTCCGCCCCAACGGGAGCACAATCGCTGTCAAGTGCCCCGAGGACGGCGAACTCGCCTTCATGTACGGCCAAGTAACGTGCTCCAACACTGGAAAGCCGTTGGCAAACGCTTCAGTCGACGTCTGGCAAGCATCCACAAACGGTAAGTTTGGAAGATCAGGCTAAGCTTTTTCGTGGATGCACATGTCGTCTAATGTTGCACCACAGGTCTGTACGAGCAGCAAGATGCCGATCAGCCGGAACACAACCTCCGCGGAGTCTTCAAGACGGATGCAGAGGGACGTTATGGATTTTACTGCCTGCGACCAACACCTTACCCTGTAAGTCTTCTCATCGAGCCTTTTTGAAGTCGTTCTTGGTCATTAACGAGTCTCAGGTACCGGGTGACGGCCCCGCTGGAAAGCTTCTAGATTTGCTTCACCGCCACCACTTCCGACCTGCTCACATTCATCTCATTGTAAGCAATCGACTCTGATGGCAATATCCCGACGCAGACACTAATAACTCCCCAGGTCAAGTCAGAAGGCTTCAAGTCGGTGACAACACAGATTTTTGACGAAGACTCAAAGTACTTGGATGATGACTCCGTGTTTGCGGTGAAGGACGGTCTTACTGTAAAGTTCATCGAGAGGAAAGGAGATCCCAAGGCTGCCAAGGAGCTCGAGTACAACATCAAGTTGGCTGCTGAGTAAGATGGGAACAAGGCGGACTCTTGTTGATTTATTTCCATGGAAGCATAATACCACGAGAGATGAATTGGCTGGCGTGTACTTCACATTTGTGAAGATTTGTCGATGAAAGGTTCGTGTGTTCAATTCGAGACACCTGAAAACTTCGTACGTAAACTTCTATCACTCAGGATGATCTTCGAGTACCCCCGGTCCGTCTGAAGCAGTCTCTGATGGTCTCCTAGTCCAGGTTGTCGCGTCTTCGGTGGCCGTTCTCAGTTCTGGCATTATCTGGAGTTCTTCCTGTAGCTGATTGACTACTACGAGTGGTGCGTCTATCTCTAGATTCGGGTAGAGCGAGCATGGAGTCAAAGATGATTCAGTATGGGCAAAGCGGTGGCAGGATGAGCTGTGTGAGCTTCATATCATTCGGCTAATAGCTCTACTATCTACCTTGGGAAGCAGCGGTATTAGGATCGAGCAGTAAGTAGATATTTTGCTGAAGGGGTATGATATGTAGGTGAGTAGGTGTTGTATTTTGCGGTAACACGCATGGCCTTAATGCATGGACTGTTCTTGGTACCTCTGTGTTGAGTATTTCTTCCTTTCATTGCTTTACTGTGATGGATTCCATTGTATATCATTTGTAGACAGTAGAATATCCCACCGACTGCGAGATGACGTCGGTTTACAGCTACGTACCTTCCATGAGGGGAATTCCATGATGTTCTGATTAGAACCAGTCTCAATTCCGGCCGATGTACCTAATCGAATAATTCGGCTGTTGGAGAAAACTGAAGGCTTATGGATTACCGACGTCATCTTGCAGTCAATGGGATAACGCATTCTCATGCTGGCGGGGAAGGTTACTTTGACATGATATTTGACCATTGTTCAGCTCGCAGCCGCATCAGCTCGGAGACATCTATTACACTGTCCTCGTCAGACTCGTACAATTTCGGATCGGCAACTGCTGTAAGCGAGAATGCCGTAAGCAGATTGGCCTGTAGTTGTAAGAGAATTGAACGTAGCTCGGAACGTCGGCTTCGCAATCAGCAAAGACCTTAATCGTCTTTCCGTCTGCCACTGAATACCCCGTTTCCAGGCTGACGGCCGTCTCGTGATCCAGGGGCTGGAAGTGTTCACGGGGGTCGGTTGAGTAGTCGGCATCAGCCTGCATTCCCTCGAGAGTTGTCCATCGAAGCCAGTGGATAACGATCTCCTGACACCAACGGAACTCCTCCGCCTTCTGCTTGCGTGCGCTTCGTGGCCCGACACTATCGTCTACCACAGCCACCTCGTACGGTCTTCCTCTTGGCTTCAGCATAAACTTGCCGTCCGTCCAGTATTTGTGCAATTGCCACGTCAAGCAGATCACATTCGCCGGGTCGTCGATGAGGTTCTTGCTCGTTGTTGTAGTCAGGATGTAGTTAATCCTTTTGATGACATCTTCGCCTTACCAGGCTTTCATTCTGAGAATCAAAGAGAACAAATCCGCTGGGTAATTCGACAATGTAAAGGGAATTATATGGCAGACTTGAGGCTTCTGCATCTTCGTGACAACACAGAGATTGTTGGCGCGGTCGCGGGCCTGCGTAGGGAGAAAATCAACAATGGCTCTCGTCCAACACAGTATAGTAATCCATACTTACCTTGTGATGATGAAGGGCCTTGATGAACTGCTTGTACCGGACTAAAGTAGTCTTGTACGGCGTGACGATCAGGATTCGTCCAGATTGATCAAGCTTGTCAATCTGCTTGAACTCGGCATGTCTGAGAAGCTCGTAGCAGCGCTGCTTGATGAAGTTCTCGTGGGCCAAGTTGCAGAATCTGGATCAACCTTTATCCTATCGACTGCTAAATGGCGTGTTTATCAGCGTTTCCAGTCTTTTCTCTAACTCTGCCCTTATTCATGGGCGAATATAAGAAAAACAGGAGCGGGTCAAGACATGATTGGCTCATAACCTTCGAGAAGTAGGTACTCTTATAATAACGTTATCTAGCAGTCGACCGACCAAAATAGCCTTGTATGGCGTGATGACCAGGATTTGTTAATGTTGACTGAGCAGCTCGTAGCAGCGCTTCTTGATGAAGTTCTCGTGGACCTGGTTGTAGAAGCTAGGTCGGTGGAGCACCGTAGGTTCAGGAGTATTCGAGGTTCTCGGGGTGTCTGAGCAGCTCGTAACAGTGCTGCTTGATGAAGTTCTCATGGACCTTATCGCAAATTATGCGGGAAGTCGACGAAGTCGCTCGTACACGTTCTTGTGGTCTGTGTTCAGTCGGCTGTTGACTGACTGCAGACACACGTTCTTGTTTCCGAGAGATGGGGTCTAGATACGTGAGGCTTGAGCCCTCTGGCCGTTCCTGTGGTCTTGACCGTACCATTCCACTTATTCTGATGTAGCTCAGGGGCTGGTCTCCTCGAGTCCACGCATCTGTTGCGGTGTGAACGACTATCGAATATCACACCAATTGCTAGATGGCGTTAGTAGGTTCACCTCCAGTCTTTCATAAGTAAGGGGTATATATACCTTGGGACCTTGGTTTGACAATCATTTTGAACTTGAAGTTACTCTCTGCCATGGCATTTCTATCCTAGTTGGAATGTCTCTATTGAACTTGAAATTACTCTCAACCAAGGCGATGACTTGCCATTGATTTTGCCGAAGGAGGTATTGCCGTCGAGTTGGCTGAAGGTGGAATTGACGGGAAGCGCTGAGATTGCTGGCTCTTGCCGTGAAAGTGGCTGAAGGAAGTGGAGTTGTCCTGCAGAGAGAATTCTCAACGCTGCATTGAAAAAATAAAGAAAAAATAAAAAAGATAGACGTAACGGGAATCGAGCCCGCTCCTCCTCGTTGCCCAAACTTTGAGAATAACAGGAATGGCCGAGGCCACTCCCTGAGCAACGAGACGATCAACCAATGAGCCGGCGCTATGGGCTCACACAAACAACCTTCCCAGGCTCTCTCGCCTGACACACCCAATCAGCAGAGGAATCGTACCCGCTACACCCGCCAACTCCCTCCTTCCATATTCTGTTATCCCCTTTACGAAGTCCAATGTAATCCGTATGCATATCAGACTTCGTAGCTACCTCAAAGGCTCTCCCAGTATACCAACAGTGATTGAATTACACATCTATTGTTACAGAGGTGGACTGCCCTGCCGTGCAGCAATCTATTCCATTTGTGCAGCAAATCAAACAAGGGCTGTGCATTGAACGAATCGGACATCAATCTTCCGATGCATCCTCAACCATGAAATCAGATGTCGTCGCCGACTAAACTAGAAACAGCATCTTCTAGAAATGAAGGTTTTTTTTTTTTAGGTTTTTTTTTTTTGGGTAAGGTAATTGCTACAAGAGAAGCATTTCAAGTTCCAGAATCCTCATAAGCCTTTGCAACGCTTTGTCCTCCATTAAGCTCAGATGAGTAAGGTACCTTGGGGTACCTTACCTTATGATTACAGGCGCCCGGGCCACCTTCTGTGCTGCTGTAGGCCCCTGGTCGTCAAAACATTCCTTACAGGAGGCATTTGCGGGTCCAGGCTGGGGCAGCAAGGCCAGGATCTTAGTGGTGTGCGGCTAATTTTGACTTGTCAAATTGTGGATATGCTTTAGATCTTCCGATTGGTCTAATACCTCGGCAATTAAGAAGCCTAAGGAACCGGAAGACCCACTATATGGAAGTGGACCGCCTAACTTAGCCTACCTACCTACCTTAGCTGAACTTCGCCTCGCGTTCTTCTTTTTTTCCCTTTCTCTTCAACGCAGACCGGTTACCTGAATTTTACGCGATCGCTCCCACGCAGTTGAATTCGGATTTCAGGGTGTTTACACAATTGAGAAGCTAACAGTCTACAGATTTCGGACTCTTTTGTTGAAGCAAACCGGCCCTGAGAAAACAAGGTCTGATCTCGATCTGCCCTATTTTATTACTTATTAATAGTTTCCTCAAGGAACGAGGCGGCCTCGAAAGAGTCCGTGTCTGTCCGACCAAGGCGGGGATTAGGTTAGTAGATAGCAGGTGGTGAAGTTGTCGAGAGAGAAACGCACGTTTCGCAATCGGTAAGTCACTCCCTTTAATACAATTCTCGAGACGTTAGCTAACCCGGGTTGAAATAAGGTCAACATGCCTCCCAAGAAGACCAAGGGTGCCAAGGGCAAGTCTGCCGAGGGCAAGTCATCGCCCTACGCTCCGGCCATCTCAGAGAAGTGTGCCATCTTCCTGGGTGAACTGTCAGGACCAATTCTTGCATCACATGGCGTCAACGACAGTGGCATCAACATTGGGGCCATAATCCGCATGGAGACTCATGAGGGAGCCGATCCTCACATTGCCCTCTTTCTGCATTTTCCCGACGGCGCAGATAATGAGGACGAAGGTTCCGGTATCCGCTTCATCTGTGAGTATATCATCATTGCCATTCGATGTGCACTGTGACTGACACATTGGTTAGGCTCGAAGTCTACAGGCTCATACGATCCATTTCCGACTCTCCGAATCGTGATTCGATTTCACCGCGAGAAATGGACCCAAAAGTTTGAGGAGGCATCTCCCGAACTACTCAGCAGATTCCCTGCGCTGCAGAAAGGCCCTGGCACGACAATTATCACATTCTCAAGCGACGTGGATGACGACGACAGAGTCTCGATCGAAGGCTTGGGTATGGCCTACATCAACAAGTCGGAACCCGAGCTCGAGAAGTTCGTGAACGAGAACGGCTCTCTTCACGGAGTCACTCTATCCGACTTCATCCGCCGCAAAACCTTTCATGTGTTCATGATCAGAAAGGGTACACCAACTCACATACAGAAGGGCTTCGGCTTCGAGAGACTGCCGCCATCCTTCGACTACCCGTACGGCGATGACCACAGCTTCAATCCCGAACGCTGCGTAGAGCTTCTAGCCAAAAACCCGCGCAAGAAGGCATTCAACTCCGTCCACAGGTATAACTACATATAGAACTCAATGTCTTAATACAATACTAACGTAATCATCAGTTTCAAGGATGCTAACTCGATGTTGACCGTCACAACGCAGTCCTTACTCCAGGACAGCTTGTATGTGTGGCAGCAGGCTCAACTCATCGTTGCTGTCAAACTGCGCGCCTACTTCGTCCCCAATCCTGAACGCAAGAATAGCTACTTTGTTATTCTTCATCTTCCCAAGGCGTTCATGGACCAATACAAGCCCGCCTGGAGCCGCCTATTGGAGCAGCAAAAGTCTTTGCTTGTGTGGGAAAATGAGGACGATGAGAAGCCATCTGGGTCTTGGTATGTCAGGCCAGTGAATCTAATACGTTCTCCAGTACTGACTATCTGTAGGCGGTGTAAGTTCAAGCCGTACGGGAGCCGCAGCCCAGCTCTCGAGTCTCATCCTCTTGGCGAGTCTGAAGCTGTGCTTTCCGCCTTACGCCCGTACCCCCATGAGCCTGGAAGTCGATGCAACGTCGTGACCTTCGAAAGTCGAGCGGATGCCATTGCGGCTGGGATGGCGCACTAGAGCTGCGTATCACTCCGTTTTTTTGGAATCTTGGACGATACGGAGCGAAAGATCATCGCTGTCAACAAGTGGAACGAGCTGGATTCCGATAGTGGTCGTCTCGCCCAACTCACAATGCGCGGGCAAGGCTACGCGGAGTGGATTATGAAGCCTGGTCCTGCAGCTGAAGGCGAAGATGTGACCGGTCTCACTGAGGCCATGGCGTCCGCAACCGTCATCGAGACCCCGCCTTCTCTCCGTCGTCTGCACAAGGTGTCATTTTTGCCTGGCAATAATGTCCGCTACGAGGAGGCTCTGACGAGCATATCACTGGAGGAAGACCGAGAACGGTGGCGCACGTTTTGCCGCCAGGTTCTGTTGGGAATCATGATCATCACCGCAGTATGTCATACGCTATGTCCCGTCCAGAAGAAGAAAATTGACAGTTTCATAGGGTCCGGGTTATGGAAAGACCACCGAAATGGCGAAGACCACGCTCGCCATGGAACATAGCATCGGTCCTGTCTTCTGTACGGCGCCAACTCACGTGGCTGTTACCAATTTCGCGGTCCGGGTCGATAAGGTAACCAGTGAAGTTTGTCGGCGGTACAACGATAATCTTCCTGAGGGGACGCCGCGAGCTCACCATCGAATGGTCCTACGGGGTTACAAGCGGGACCACGAGCTTGACGCCTTCAAAACTCTGCTGCAAGACCCCCTCCTTGGCGACCTGGCCGCTCCTAAGCTACCAGATAGCACGGCGCCGTGGCGCCTTGAGTTATCTGTGGCCTTCTGGCTTCTGGTGCTTTTGCGCTCCCCTGCTGTCCGAGACCTCCACAGAGACGACAAAGAGGCGTTGCATCAGCTCCAACGCGAAGTTGACACTCGACGAGACTGGGCTGGCCTTCGAGCCGTGGCCACTGGCAAGATCACGTGGGACGAATACACCAGCCAATTTCCTGCCCACCAGAGGACAGTGTCAATCGTCATGGATCAACTTGTCAACATGGCAGACATTCTGGCTACGACCCCCTCCCAGTGTGTCTCCGTCAAAGAGGTGTACCACCGTTGGTGGGCGCAAGCGAAAGCCGTCGCAATCGATGAGGCGGCCAACATGGACCGCGGCGACCTGGCGAGCGCTTGGGGCAACAAGATGCTCCCGTTGCTGTGTGGCGGAGACACCGAACAGCTCCCACCGACTGTTTTGACCGAACAGTACGACGTCGACGCCGCCGGGCTTGTTTTCAATCAGTTCTCGAACGACGGCAGCGTGTCAGCCCAGGGCTTCCTTATGGCATCAGGGCACCTGGCGTATCGGTTGCGCCTGCAACTCCGAACCGCCGATGGTCTATTCGACATCGTTGGTAAAATCATCTATCCGGACATCCCAGTAAGATACGGAGGCAGCTGCCGCATCGACTTGCCAAAGTTTGAGGTTGGCCATCGCCTGGAGAGCTTCTGCAGGGAGCGCTTCCCGGAACTGATTGCGCCCGCAAAGGGCAAGTTGCGCCAATCTTCATTCACTGCCCCGACACAGTGGTGAAGATTGATCACGTCAACGGTGGCAAAAGATGCCTCGACCAGGTTCACGCCGCCCTCAACATGGCATCCGAATTCGTTACGAAGAAGTCCGTTGACCCTTCGAAGCTCGTTATCCTGTCGTCTTACAAGACGAATGTGGACTTCCTGAACAAATGGGCAGAGAAGCACTACCCCGAGCTTGCCAACATGAGCCCTGCATCAACTATTGGCGGTTACCAGGGTCGCGAAAACGACATTGTCTTCGTTGTCATGGGCACCAAGGCCCGCAACCCAGGCCCCGGGTTCACGAAGAACCGAAACCGCCTTAACGTCCTCCTCACGAGGCAACGGTGCGGTCTCGTTATCTTTGGCGACATCAACGTCGTCGGGGAGATGAGCCCGAAGGACTTCGGAACCATGCCGCAGCTGGACCTCCCAGCTGCATCGAACTTCACAATGCCAAAGGCCCCGCAGTACACTGTGTGCAAACCCAGGGCTGATGGCAGCGAAGGGACCCTGAAGCAGAGCGCGCCCGAGCAATACCGGATCTGGCTCTTTCTATGGCAAAGTGGCAGAGTAGCTACCTTGTCTGTCAAAAACCTTGGCAACCCCGGCAGAAGCGCTGAGACGGGAGTCAAGGAGGGGACTTTGGAGGGGGCTCAGGAGGGGGCTCAGGAGGGGGCTAAAGAAGAGGCCAAGGAAGAGGTCAAGGAGGAGGCCAAGGAGGAAGCTGAGGAGGAAGCTGAGGAGGAGGCCATGGTGGCCGACACCAAGGAGCCCGAGAAGAAGGGCGATGACTAGAGTTATTTCTGTTTTGCAATCAAAACTTGTTCGTAAGGTATCATCTTTAATGCATGAAAGTGATATGCTCATGCAATTTCGACGGCAATGACACAAAAGACTTCACGTTTTAGGTATGCATCATTATTTGGGGAGATAAAAGTTTAAATAAGAATCACTTACCTCAAGATACCTTACCTTAGGTACCTTACCTTATCATACGTCAATCGGCAACTTCTATAAGCAATTTCCGGCACTTAGCAGTCTGTGAAGCTCAAGACAGTACCGCATCCTTATATGACCAGTAGTCAGATACCTTACATCGTGCCAAAGGCACTACTGTCACTTGATAGAATAAAGCATCTGGTATCCAGCATACATCAAATATCTACGAAAGAGAATATCGAACGCAATTGATAGCTGTGATTGACAAGTAACGTAAGCGATTGTAGGCGCCGGGCACGGGCAGTCAGCGGGATACGGGCGGGGCTGGGTGTGGAGTGGTAGCTGCGCTCTCATTGTCCACCATCAAAAAGTCGGTCACCTCCCGGATAGCATGACTTATGCAATATGTGAAGTTCTCAGCAACAACTTTTGCAACTTGAAGTAATTCAGCTTAGAAGCCCAGTTCTACCGCGAGCCAGGGGCACCGCAGGAACCACCACCAGTGTCTCTAACAACTTCCAACAGCCCAATCAACCTCCCCTTCCAACCCCTCCTTTTACTAGTTCGCTGCCAATCAGTCAAATCTCCGCCACCCTATGAACAGGCGAAGCACCGGAAAGGGGGCAACCCAGAAATTCCGATAGTGTCAGGAAATCATTTGCCATTGACTTCGACGAACAAAGATCAAGATTAAGGATCATGTCGACTATGACTGCGATCCCCGCAATAAGTTCAAGTCCCATGACCACAGAGAGCTTGGAGCAACAAACCTCAACCCTTGGAAATTTGTGGCCGACAGAAAGCTGATTAAGATCTACGCCGATCATGAAGCTGATCCTCCGAGCTACGATCTCTTGCAGCTACAGGCGATTCTGATGATTCTGACGACGACGATGACGACTTCGGAGGTGTGGGCGAGTCCTCCGGAAATGAACAGCAGGCACACCTTTGCCCTGAAGGTGATCACTGGCAGAACGACTTGGACGACTTGCGTTCGAGCGAGGCTTCAACCGGAGGCGACGAGGAGATGAATCTTGTCATCAGACCGGCTCCAGATAAGCCGATGAAAACAATGGCGACGAGACTGGACAATCGAAGCGCTGGAGTTATCACAAGAATGCGTCATAGGTAGTTTACAAATGATACATGATGGAATACGTTACAGAAAAGCGATGAAAGAACAGAGATGCCAAACAAGAGTTACTAAGAGACAACACCTCCTATGGCTGCTCTATTCCATTCTTTCACCTTACAAGCCGAACGTCGACCTTATTGATCAGTTGGCGAGAGAAAACCACCCGCAGCTAGCGGGAATGCCTTCTGTTTCAACTACTGTTGGTATCCCTATCACAGGGTAGTTGGTTCGAACCGTGGGTTGACGAAGAGGTTAATTGATCTATCTTAACTTCTGCGTGAGGGTGTAAAAAGGGGGTTCCAACTGGAGGTTGGGCAGGCCGCGATTCTCATAAGTATGGGTTGTAAGTGATCTCTGCGCGGGCCCTTGCCTCGAGGTCGAATTGGACTTCCAAGCCGACGACTACCGACGTATATCAGGCCAAGAGAGCGGTGTTCTTTTTGTCGTGATGTGTACCGAGGCCAGCAAACCCCTGTATTTTGACCTCTGTTATGTAGGAACGTCTTTAGCATAAATTGCTAATTTACCTCCTTCTTTGCTCTCAGTGGTGGCCTTGTATATAGTATTGACGTGATGGACTAAGGGATCAATTATGGCATCGTCCATGACATTGAGGTGAACTGCGAATTCGGTTCCTTCCTTGCTCTCACTGTAGTTGCGGGAATAGTGCTCGTAATCGTCCATGCATCTCTCGAACTCATAGTACGGATAAGGCCAGGGTACTCGTCAGCATCTCGGTAGGGACCAACGGTGATCTTGATCAGCCTTGAGTTCCCTCATATTCAACTATGAATAACTTTGTGATAGCGCAGGACTGAAGAACAGTTAGGAATGGATGGACTGATGCCGTCAAGCACCTCAGTTGATATGATATTCATTGCTGACATCACTGAGCAGTCTGCACACCCTTACAAGATCATCAGGCTGGAAAACGACCATGACGCCATGAATCTCACGTGCGGCTACTATAGATGTAGGGAGCTATCAGGGGCCACTGATGGATTGTGTAGGATAAAGGAAGAATTGGAAGGTGGCAAGGCTAATATGTGTAGGTAAATTATTGCAAGATGACGTGCTCAGTGACATTGGCAGCATGTCGTTTGGCACCGCTACGCTCATCTCCCCAAATTACCAGTGGGTAGGGCCGATGGTAGACCCATCATCGGGTAGGATCTTTGTGACGGCTGCACTGTTCGTATCGAGGTTATCGTTCTGTGTCTGAAGTTAGTATAAGAATGTAGTAAAAGGGGAGGTAATCGAAACTAGATAGAAGACTCCCTTGACATGTCGACGAAGTTCAGATCAAACAGGGATCTAGCGATTGTCGGATAATCGTTTGCTGATCAGAGTGGCTAAATAAGAACCAAGTACACTGAGCCTCAGCATCTCGGGAAGTCGAACACCACTGACTACATAGATGGTTGAAAGAAGATAACCTTTCAGCTTGCGTTTGAGAATCAGGATCGGCATGCGCAACGTTACGTGTAGGATACTTAGGTACTTGAACATGTCAGTGTGGCTGGCTGTTGGTGTAGGCTCATAGGTACACACTAGCCTTGAATCCTTCGCCAAATCGGTGTAAAGGCTCGTATACTCTTGCGGGTGAGACCGAGCTAAACGGGTAGAAACCGGTCCGATCAAGTGTGTCTCGATCCCGCAACCACCAACATGAGCCTATCGTGCCTATGAGGTCGGCTGTGCTACCAACGGCTTGCCTCGGCCGAGTGGCGGCACGAAAAGGACCCTAACATGTCATAGACTAAGGTAGCTCTACGTAGTAAGATGATAAGGATTGAGCTGCCATTCGCCTGAGCAAGTTCACCCGAACCAACGCCACAGCCGTCTCTTATCCCAACATCCAACACACTTGTGCGCCCCGCAACATGCCATTGGATGTTTTCTGTACCTATTGATACGACATGTCACCGAGAAACAAGGTGTCGCCCGCAAAGTAAGTGCATCGGCTCCATCAGGAGACCCAGAGGGAGAGACCCAGCGTACCAGCCTGGCGGAAAGGTGCGTGGGGTTAAAGAGCAACCACCTACCTACCAGGCTGGGATTCCCTATCTCTGGGTTTGCTTGCTCCTGCTTGCCAGATGACCAATGGGAAAGGCCGGTTTCTGGCAATCATCAGGACATGCCATATTTCTTTGGTTCTTGAGCCGACTTCCTGCAGGGCGGTCCACAAGGCTAGGTAGGCCGCAAGCTTTTCGGGGATGTCACTCACCTACCCGAGATACCGAGGAGACGCTGCAGCTGTCCGAATCACAATGCATGTTGGCTGCCCACCCCGCAGAAGATATTTTGGAATAAGGGTTCGACGGCCGGGTATCACGGATGGAGCTCTCACAACCTTTTTCGCCATCTCGCGTGCCCATGTCCCGCAAACCACGCGAGGTGGTGGCCAAATGCATTCAATGTGCAGATTGCCCAAAGCCCATGTCCGTTTGCCGCAGTGGGAATCATTACCATTTGCGAGATAGTATTGAGTTGTGAGGAAGTGGGAAGGCATCTCCAGCCCGCATTGATGAATGCTTGAATAAGGACAAATTATTCCAATCTAATTGTCTGGTTGCCGCCTAGGGTGGTGCTGGGCAGTCGTGACACCGTGCCACCGCGCCACGCCGTCTTTTCCAGCCGGCGGGGACCTGGGGAAATGACAGGAACTTTACGTACGAGAATCCGTAATTCCAGTCGTTCTCGATAACCTTAAACTGCTACCGAGAGGCTGAAGAATCCGTCGCGAGTAGACTGAAGCAAAGGACATCAGTAATCGATGCTGAGGTGGTTTGCTAGGCGTAAAGCTTCGCTTACCTCAAGTTTGTTCCTTCGTGTGATGCTTGGTCGCCATGTTTGCCCAAACGCTGTTCGTCGTGGTACACTGAGAAAGACGGTGAGATAGCTGAGTAAGAAAGGATGCCGAGGTTGCTACCGAGTCAGTTGCGCCGATTCGCTGTTCCTCGATGGATGTGCTGAATGAATGACATCTCCCATCTTCATCACCAACGCAGGAATACCGATACAACCAAATCTGACCATAACCGCATTTCCAAGGTCCTTTTGCGTCGGACTATCGCGTGGGGCGGAGGTCACCCATCAGGAAAGTCTCCAAGCGCAGTCGGACGAACCAACCCTCTCCAGCAACTCGGATCTCAAGCGGCAGGCATCCTTCAACCGTGTCAACCCAGAAGGGCGCGCCTACGGAGCACAGAGGGACGTTTGTCACGCTTTCAGAGGGGCCATTTGCGGAGGGAACGAAGGGGGGGAGGGGTCGCAGGAACTTTTTGTTCATCCACTTGTGTCCAGAATGCTCAACTTGTCAGTGCTTGTGTCATTAACCTGACAGCCTCGAAGCCAACTCGACGTAATGATTGGCTTCTCTGCCGACAGAACATGACATGGGTGGCATCATTTGCCGTCTCTTCCGACGTCCTTCCCGAACAGTGCAGATTGTCGCTCTGTTTCCGCGTCTCTGAGTGGCTAGTCGAGTCGGAACTCGCTTCTCCTGCTCTTCGACTCTCGCGTGCCCTTGCAGGGATTCAACTCGGGTGATTAACTGAGAAAGTCTTGGCCTCCAAGGCTCGAAGGGGGGACGACCGCGCTAGACAGGCATTATCCTCGGACCCCAAGGTCCCTTTGCTATCGGCAGATCCACTGAAAGCAGGGCCCTTTGCATTGAACGACTTTTTGTCGGAGGAGTGGCGACGCGGGATGGCTAGCT